TGTTAAACCGACAAGCAATGGATGGACAAACAATGAGACGGGTCTAAAATGGTTGAAACACTTCGACAAACATACTGCTGTTCGTGCAAGGGGTCCATATCGAATGCTGGTGTTAGACGGGCACGAGAGTCATGAATCGGCCGAGTTCCAAGAGTACTGCAAGGCACACAACATTATAACTCTTGGACTACCTCCCCACTTGTCTCATTTAACTCAGCCACTTGATGTCGGGTGCTTTAGTGTGTTGAAGCGGGCATATGGTCGGCAGATTGAGACCTTCATTAAGGCTCATATCAACCACATTACCAAGGTCGAGTTCTTTCTCGCCTTTAGAGCAGCATATCTGGAATCCATGACAGCCCAAAACGCCCAGTCCGGGTTCTGCGGCTGGCTTAGTGCCTTTCGACCCGCAAGCAGTGCTTTCAAAGCTTGACGTGAGGTTACGGACTCCAACTCCCTCTAGACCCTCTACTGCCAACACCAACCCTTGGGTCTCCCAGACCCCTTCCAACCCAACTGAAGCTCTTTCACAAACAACCCTCATTCGAAATCGAATTGCCCGTCACCAAGGAAGCTCGCCAACTCCACTTGTTACGATATCAAGTGCGCTCGCTAAAGAGAATTCACTCCACAATAGCTGTATATAGATCGAGCCACTGCTCGAGTGCTCCTCTTCTCTTTCCTTTCTTCTCTAGATTGAGTTTAATTCATAATACCCAACTGGCGCCCTATGCCTTGGTGAACCGTTGACACCACTCTTCGGGACAGTTATTGCATTGGCAAAGGGTACGGAGCGACTAGCACATGAGAACACCCTTCTGTCTGCTGAGGTACGTACCCTTCGAGCAGCCAACGAAGCCCTTAGCAAACGCCTGTAATGGTGGGTGCACCAGATATGAGAATCTAGCCACCCAAGGAAGGGATGAATTTACTAAGACAACACACTGTCTTAGGAAACAGAGCCAAAGGGTTGTAGCTTAGACTATTCCACAACGCAGCAATCAGGTGTATGATGTGGTGAAGTGGTTTAGACAAGTTGCAACAAATGTTGAGTCTGAGAACTCAAGGGTAAGTCAGAGGTTAGCACCTCACTGACTTTTCAAAAACAGAGAATAACAAGATCAATGCTTGGAAGCTTGGAAAAGACGTAGAAGTATGTGCTAGTCGATTTACTGTATTGCCTGCTTGCCCTTTCTTAAGGAAAGGGCAATCCTATTTATGCCAAAGGAGTGTAGTTCTCTCATTTTCCATGACTTTCCATGACTAACCAGGCTTGGTAAATGTATTAGAAATCAAGTGCGACCCACAACTAGCTTGCTAATCATGTAGTGAACGTAAGAGAATCCCATAGAACCATCTCTTGGGTTCCTAGCCTATAGGAAGTGAAAAGGAGGTCCAAGGTCAGAGTACCTATAGATAAATTATGTCATAACTTAACCAATCTTGTGGGTAACTAAGGAGCGATGACGTGTAATGAATCATAGAGGGTTGTAGAAGCTTCTAGAGCTATCGTTCATGTTCCTAGGCCTCTAGTTGGTAGATATATGCCATGTGGTAGTATTGGCCCACCCCCTTAAGGAGGAGATTTTCTTAATAACTTGTTCAATGAGTGTTCAAATGATATGCCGTGATGTATGTAGCATAAACAGATGTAGTAGAAGAGTTTGCAGCAATCGTTGAGTAGTATTGCTTCTGTTGTTGGTGTGATAAGCCAAGATATGTATGGTGACTTGTAGGTTTGAGGAGGAGATTTCTAAGTTTGCTCTTGAGTTTGATAGCAAACTGAGTGCAACGAATGTCAGTATGACAACGCCGCAGGGCTAAAAAGGCTCGTGTCCGTGAAGGAGGTGCACTTATAGTAGAGGATGCACAGGCTATTATCGCACAGAAGGATGTGGATGAGCAGGTACGATGCGACGTACGTGCGGTTGGGGGTAGTCGCAAGGAGGGGCAACCATCTAGGCGATGCTGTGGGATCTGTGGAAAAGCTGGTCATAATGCGCGAACTTGTCAAGAAGCTATAGATATGTCTAGTTCATCTGATTCCGCTTAGTTATAGTTAATTTAATATGTTATGGTTGATTTATTGATATTCAAAGTAGAATACCAATGAAAAGTGTCCGAGGTACTGATATGTCCGACGTACTGATAAACCACGTTATTCATGATTATCAAAAACTCATAACGTGGTTTACCACCAAACGGAATATCCCACCAAATGAAACACTTTCCGATAGCATCGCAACCTCAAACCCAATTACTCCACCACACCACAACAAAAAGATGCCTCAGAAAGCTAATGAAGGCCGAGTTTTACTAGCCATTCAAGCTACCAAATCACCCCACAAACTGTCCATCCGACGTGCTGCGCAGCTATATGAGGTCCCACATGTAACACTTACCCGTCGCATACACGGAAGCCAACCACGAGCTGGTAGACGCGACAAACAACGTCCATTGACCCCAATTGAGGAAGAGGAGCTCATACGATACGTACTTGACCTAGATTCGCGAGGATTTCCACCTCGAATTGAGGATGTACGAGATATAGCGAATCTCCTCCGTGCGACGCGTCGCGAACCCCCAGTTGGAAAAAACTAGCCCTACCGCTTTGTACACAATGAACCAAAGCTTAAGACGCGTCTCTCTCGTGCGTACGACCTCCAGCGAGCCCTCTGCGAAGATCCTGATTGTATAAGAAAGTGGTTTGAGCTGGTAAAAAACATGCAGGCGAAGTACAGCATCCAGGATGCTGACTTCTACAACTTTGATGAGACGGGCTTTATGATGGGTGTTATCTGTGGGAATATGGTTGTTACGAGCTCAGATCGAAAAGGCCGAGCAAAGCAGCTTCAGTCTGGTAATCGGGAATGGGCAACAGCGATTGAATGTGTGAGTGCAGACGGCTTTGTAGTGCCTGCATACTTGATTGTACAAGGCAAGCATCACCTTGCGCCTTGGTACACAGAGTGCGGCCTTCCACCTACTTGGGCCATCAAGACCTCACCAAATGGCTGGACCGACAATGATACAGGTCTAGACTGGATAAAACACTTTAATCAGCATACACGTGTACGAACACAAGGGGTCTGGCGGATGATTGTCCTAGATGGCCATGAGAGCCACCTATCTGCCCAGTTTGATATGTACTGCAAGGAGAACAACATTATTACGCTCTGTCTCCCTGCGCACTCCTCACATCTTACCCAGCCTCTTGATGTTGGGTGTTTTAGTGTACTAAAGCGAATGTATGGTCGAGAACTTGAGGTCTTCATTAAGGCCTCTATTACCCATATCACTAAGATTGAGTTCTTTATTGCATTCAAGGCTGCCCACGACCATACAATGACAACTGAAAATATCCTAGCTGGCTTTCGAGGTACTGGCCTAGTCCCGTACAACCCAGAAGCAGTTCTCTCAAAGCTTGATATCAAGTTACGGACGCCAACACCAACTGGATCCCCCCTACTAGAGGCTGACCCTTGGGTCCCTCAAACGCCACAAACCCCAGCTGATGCAATTTTGCAGTCTAAGTTTGTACAGAATAGAATTGGAATTCATCAAGGAAGCTCCCCAACAACGATTTTTTCAGCTGTAAAGCAGCTGGTGAAGGGTACAGACCGCATTGCGCACCAAATGACCCTTATACAAGAGGAGGTCCGTACCCTTCGAAAGGCCAACACAGCACTTTTCAAAGCGTCGGAAAGCCAAGCGTACACGTGTCCAAGATGGAGGGTCACTTACTATAGAAGATGCTCAAAAACTGATCGCTGAAAAAGAGGATAAAGGGTTGAAACGACAGAAAAGGTCAAATGAGGAGGGTGCTGTAGAGGCTGGTCCATCGACTTCGCGGCGCTGTGGGAGGTGCGGCAAGACTGGGCATAATGTACGAACCTGTCAAGAGGTTGAAGAGATATTAGGAGAAGAGAATTCAATTGAGTGTAGTTAATTTTAATGTGTTAGGGTGGAGTAATTGGGTTTGAGGTTGCGATGCTATCGGAAAGTGTTTCATTTGGTGGGATGTTCCGTTTGGTGGTAAACCACGTTAATCATAATCATGAATATTCATGATTATGAATGATCATGCTTATGTAATATTTGACTATTCGAATAGTCATGATTATTATGATTATTTGTGCTAACCCTGATCCAAAAGCGAGTTTCCCAGTGCACGCACGCATGTATGCACAGTTGACGCTCTCTCTCTAAGTTAGCCTTCGTTATTATGCAGCTAAGAGCCTCGAACCCTTCAAACTCCTCTTTGAACTTCTCCATAGCCGTAATATGGCGGCACAACGGCCACGCCAGTCCCAACCCTTTTTGCTGGCTCTTTTGGAACTCCCCCAAGTCCCTCCTCCTCCCCCATGATAATCCCACACGTGCCAAGAATCCCATCTATCCCCCTTAATATTTAATACATTAGTCTGTCTTTTATTCCCCAATCACCCCAATCCACAATTGCCCCAGGATAGCAGGACACTGGGGACAGACTATAGCAGGACCTGAGCGCATTCCGCACATTGAGAACTTAGCAAAGATTGCCATACCCTCATATTGGCGGACGTTGGGAACGGACCCCACAATGATGACCCCAAGTGCCCCGCATCGCATCCTCCGTCGGCGTCACAAGTCAGTACACACTATGTTGAGACTGGTGTACGCCCAGGTACCGTTCTGACATGTGAGAGAGCCTCGGTGACGTTTTGGACCTGGGCATCGATCCCCTCGATAATAATGCGCGCGCCAATTGCGCAGGCCAAATGCGCAATGTTCTGCTTGTGGAAACTCTCTATCCTCTGTCCTCTCCTGCCGAAAACACCACTCATCATCGTACGTTTTACCCCTCCATCTCACCTCGCTCTTACCCTCGCAACTCATCCAGTTCTTATATTCTATTCTACCACGAGAAAAACTTCCATCTGCTCAAACATCGTACCCAAGCTCATTTTTATACCTAGAAATTCAAGACTTCCAGAAAGAATTAGAGCAATATACTCAAGATGGCCGCTCCCGCTGAATACACGATTGCGAACTTGAACGGTCAATGGGTTCTGGTGCGCAACACCCCCCATCCCTCGCACCGATCGCACAGCTAACAACCACCCAGAACAAGGCCCTCTCCGACGAGACCGAGCCCGTCCTCTCTCTCCAGGGCGTCGGCTGGCTCATGCGCAAGGCCATCGGCCTTGCGACCATCACTCTCTCCATCTCCGAGAAGGTCGAGAACGGCGTCACCGTCATCGACATTGAGTCGACCGGCACCGGCGGCATCCAAGGCACCGCCGAGCACCGCGTGCTGGACTGGATCGAACACGCGCACGAGGACCACGTCTTCGGCTCGCTGACGAGCCAGACCAAGTGGCTCGACAACAAGGGCGCTGACTGGGATGCCCTGGACTCGTTCCAGAAGGAGGGATGGCTCGATGAGAGGGTTGGCCCCAATGGCGAGCCGCACGTCGTGACTACTGCCGTCAACAAGTCGAATGGCTGGACTGCTACCCAGGTCTGGGGGTTCACGGAGCTCAATGGCGTCAGGTACTACACCAGGAAGGTGGTCATCACCAAGGGGAGCGAGGTGTTGAAGATCAGGATCTTCTACGACTTTGTTGGACCAAAGGCCTAGATGGGCGCTGGACGCCAGGGTTGATGGAGTAGGGTGGACAGACGGACAGACGGACAGACGGACAGACGGACAGACGGACAGACGGACAGACGGACAGACGGACAGACGGACAGACTGCACATATGGATTGGGCGAGTCATTACTAGCGGATTACCCTAGAAACCGTGTGGGTTAGAGGATATAACTAGAAACCATCCAGAATACCCAAGTACCTCTTGGGGTCACGTAGTGGACATCTCTTTGAGATTCAATCGACAGTGACAGGCTTCAATGACGCCATCTGGCAACAAATCGTAGAGACCACAGAATTCGGTTTATAAACGCCCCATAATAGCTCGCAATAAATACAGAACGCGGCACGCCCCCCCACCCTCTACCTCTTCATAGAATCAATCATCTCCCTATGCGCATTCTTCTCCTTGTTGGCCTCCGCCAAGCTCTGCACGCTGCGCAGGTCACCCACCACATCCTTGGCCTTGCCAAAGTACACCTCCTGCAGCAGGTTGCGCATCTTGAGCTCCATGTCCTCGACCAGCTTGCCGATGTTGGAGATGTGGCTCCCGTCGTCGTCGACCGTTAGGTCCGCCTCGATCTGCCGCGTCATGTTGCCCGAGAGCTCCATGTCGCCCAGCACGTCGGTCCCGGTCGAGAGGTGCAGGATCACCGTTGAGGTCAGCTTGTAGTGAGCGGTGCGCGCGCGGTCGATGGCTTCGAAGACGTGGATGGAGTCCCATGATCCTTCGGAGCCGCTGTTCTGGGGCGAGCCTGCATCACACCGTTAGCCAGGTCCAGTCCCTCCCAATTTCGTCCCCATCGTCTGCATCTCGTGCATTCATCCCCTACCTAGCCCACCAGGCAAAACATACATTTCTTCAGCAGCACAACCCCCGCAAACCCATCATCCAAATTCCAGAAGTACACCGAGCTCAGCCCCCCCTCATAATACAGCTCACGATACACATCAAACGCCTCATTCGCACGAATCTCCATCTTCCTCACCCTATCACTCGGCACGGCGCCCGCACCAGCTCCCTCATCCACGCCGCCCTCACTGCTCTGCTCGAGCGCCGGCTCAAACTCCCCCGACCACGGCGACCGGTAGCTGTCGCCATCGCGGTTGTAGTCGCAGACCAGGTAGTCGCGCTTGGTCTTGCTGCACCAGCGCGTGCTGAGCGGCTGGTCGACGGAGGAGAGGAGGTCCTCGGTTAGGTCGGGGACGAGGCCGATGAGAGAGTTGAGGTGGGTCGAGGTGTGCTTGGGGTCGAGGCGGCGGAGGAGGTCGCTGGGGGGGGGGAAGGGTGTTAGTGCGGGGTTGGAGGTGGGGATGGGGGGAGGTAGGAGGGAGGAGGGAGAGCTTACAGCGCGCTGTCGAATTGGTCGACGGATGCCATGGTGATGGTTGGGGTTGTTGTTGGGGAGGTGGAGGGGGAGGTTTGGAGCTGCGAAGGTCAACTTTGTGGTGGTGGTGGAGGGGTCGAGGTTCCCAACCGCCAGGCTACGAAGCGAATCCTGAGGAAAGCGACGAGATTGGCAAAAGTCCGAAGGGGAGATATAGATCGGGATCAATACCAGCGATTTACACTCAGAACTTATCTCTTTAGTTTCATTTGACTTTGCTGATAAGGAGAAGGAGATGACGGTCGCAGGTGACTTTCACCAAATCTGGCCCTCGAATATGCTGAAGTAGTACTCGTGTCGCCCAAAGTCTGAAGAGAGATTGTGCAAAACAACGGCGATTACGGCATTCTATAATTAATTCGGAGGCATTCAATCGCTCAGGGCTGTGCATGTTTCGACCATCATTCGTCTTCTATCCTCCAAATACTGTAAAGTACACATGAACCGGCCGGTCAATTATATAACTGGTATTTAGCATAAAGGTGCCGTGGTCCTGTACCATAGATCATCTGCCATTATGGGCAAAAGTGCCGCTCTGGGGTAGCGATGGGCGCGATTGGTGGAATTGGTGTCCCAAGCCTACAAATACAGTATGTATAGTTCCTTCCTCACTTTTCTCTCCTGTCCAAACTATATACAACGCCATTGACGCCAACCTGATCCAGGTGGGAAGCAGCTATCTCCTCTCCTTTGGTCGCGACATCTATCAAGTGGCTATGAACTCTGCGGCGACCAAGACGGCTGGCACGGCCGCATACCAGATCTAGTACAACCCGTCCGGAAGCCATGCCTGCGAGGGCAGCTTTGTCTTCTACAATGCCGGATACTACTACCTCACCTAGAGTCAGGGCATCTGCTGCGGATATGACACAAGCAAGCCCGCGGCTGGAGCAGAGTACAAGATCATGGTGTGCAGGAGCTCGAGCGCTACAGGCGGCTTTGTTGACAAGAATGGGTCGGACTGCAAGAATGGTGGGAGCAGCGTGTTGCTCGAGTCGCACGGAACGGTGTATGGGCCCGGTGGACAGTGAGTTACTCTTCCTTCTTTGCTCTTAGGGTGTCATGGCTAACAATTATAGGGGTGTCTTCACGGACTCGAGCCTAGGCCTTGTGCTTTACTACCACTACGCCAATACCAACGTTGGTCTCGGCGATGGCGCATATCTCTTTGGATGGAACAAGGTCAACTGGAGCAACGGGTGGCCCTCCGTGTAAGGCATTACTCTTGCCTCGGGTGGGAGAGATCCTCGTATCATATTTTAAATCGCTCTACTCCACTTCTGTGGCGGCTATTGATGCCAATAGTCGGGCGTATGTATACATCTTTAACTTTACGACCGTCTGTCATTTACCCAAGCGGGTGCATGGTCTTCACAAGGAAGTATATATTCAGGTCTTTTATACGTAGATATCACTTATCACATGCGTATCCCAAGTTTGAGTCATAGAGATGCGCTTATTCTCTACCTGTAATCATAGCAAATCAACAACCCCTTGTTTCCACGCCACCACGCTCTGATGCCATCCCAGTCCCCCCAATACTCCTCTGTAGCGGCACATCAAAAATCCTTGCATGAATAACATCTCTCAATAAAACGAAAACCATCAACCGCTATGCAGAAACCGTAATGGATACCAAGCCGCATGATGTCTGGCGAGTTTGACTCAGCAAACAAAGCTCTAAGAATGAATCAGTAATTTGACCTCTCCTTCCCCCTCCTGCTCACACACTCACCGATACCAACACTAGAGCTTTCCCAACGCCCCCTTCCCCATCCCCTCCCCCCAATCATCCATTGACAGCTCCTCACACCCCAGACAAACCCCAAATCGGAACTGCACGTCCTCAACCATCGACTCAAAGTCACACCGAACTTTACTCCTCGTAACTTCCTCGCTCATCATCTCCTTCGTCGTAGCGTTCTGCTCCAGCTTCATGCGCTCCTCGCACTTGAACGTCGGGCGCGGGACTTCGCAGCCGCAGCCACTGTAGCTGATGCAGCTACGGTAACACATTGTGGTGGCCGGGTTGCGGTGTGGGGTATTGTGAGGTGGGTTGCTGAAGAGGCGTGACGAGAGTGGGTTTGTAGTTGACTGACTGGTCTTGGTGATGCGGTTTGCTTGGGTTTTGGAGCTTGATTGTGGAGCCTGTTTGTGGAAAGAGAAGGAAGGAGCGGTGGAGGAGTGAGACACGCTCTTTCCACTCTATATGGGGTGGTGGTTGGTTATTCAGGGAAGGAGCAATCACACGTTCTTTCCGCTTCATAGGGGTTTGATTATTCAGGGGAGGATCATTTTGCGCGGTTCGTCCCAGAGAGGGTATTATATGATGAAGTCAAACTCAAACGCTGTTCTAAATTGTGGTTACAAATGTCTCACTTTATGATCAGCTCTGCATAAATTATCCTGGGTTACTCGCTTTTTTTTTTATAAGTCCACGAATCTCATTATCATATCAAGCCTCCCGGCAGTCAAACACGCAACAATGAGAGAATAGCATATTTTAAATTCAACGATATTAGGATTCTCCTATAACCACAACCCACCCACGTCCCCTGTCAAACCATCACCCATTGCTTCGCAACCTCCATACACCTTGGGCACCGGCCATTGTCTCGAATTTCCAACGGCTTATCCAAATCCGCATCCTCAACCAAACACCAAGCTTCTAGCACGTATTCCTCGTCCACCAACCCATATGGCACGGCAGCTCCATGCTGTTTGCGCCACGAACAGTATTTTTTGCCTACCAAATGCGAACACCCGCACTCGCCAAAGATTTGTACGATGGGGCGGCACATTGTGAGCGATTGTTGTTTGTCTGTATAGTGTTGTCTTTGTTTATAGCTCGAGTCTTTGTTCTTGGAGATGATGAATAAGTTAGGGAAAACATAAAACGAAAAGGAGATTTTCTCTGCTTTTATACTTATAAATTTTGCTAGTTCTTATCCACAGATATTTGAATCAAACTTAGTTTAACGTCAATCCGTGATTCCTCTTCTTGATCTAAAGTATTTGGTGTTTCAAAGTGAAGCGGTGGGACGATGGAATCACGCCCTTTGAAGGAGATCTCCTCGCTCATTCACTTGACAATTCACATTTACTTCCTAATAAAAAACTAGAACTCCATTCAATAGGCAGGCTCTGGAATTCTCCATCCTGCAATCATATTCATACAACTGCTGCCATAGGTACATTGCCGCCTGCCAGCCCGCCCCTCACTGTCATCCCTTTGTCGCGCACTGGAAGCACCCCTCATCAAGTGTCTTGGTCACGCCTCCCTTCTCCAAGTCACCCTTGCACCCCCTGCTCCAAGTCTTCGTCTCCGCCGCTGTGCTGTCCTTGCCGTACTTAGCACCTGTCTTGGCCCAGCTGCACTGCTGCATCTCTCTGGAGGCCATGCAGCCGCAGCTGTAGAAGTGGGTGGTGAAGCGACACATTGCCCACCACACAATATGAGTGGAGTTGTGTTTGTGGTTTTGTATACAAGCAATTTGTCTGGGATGGAAGCTAAGATTGTTAGATTCAAGCTCTTAATTAGTATAGTGATGGTGCTGCATACCTTTTATCATGTGGTTTAGTGGGTGGGGAGAGGAGGTTTGGAGGCTGTACAGAGAAGCGATTGTGGAGACATTCAGCAGAGCTGCCTTGATATTCATTCCATATGATTCCCAATCTCATTGTGCACATTCCAGCCTCCATAGATGATTGTATGACCAGGAGAGAACGGTATATGCTGGGACCCGAACATCCGGGTTTAAGCTCTCGCACCCCTACTCTATTTGTCAGATAACTCGCTGTCTGTTCTATGGTACCATACCACGATGTCAGCATGTTATACTGCGTACAAATATTGGAACCTGGCGTGGAGAGGTATAAACAAAGAAGAGTACTCCTGCTGCCTAAAAGCTCGCAGTGGGGGCATACATAACAGCGGGATTCACAGCAAGGCAACCGAAGAATGAGAGAGATGAGATATATATATCTTAATAGCACTCTGAACGGAACCACTCGATTTGAGAACCACTTCCAGACTCTCCACAACCCAACCCATCATACACACACACCACACCCATCATCCATCTCTCACTTCCCCCCGGTAGTCGGGAACCCCATAACGATCTTGAAGTAATCATAAATCATCCACTGCAGCCCCGTCAACGTGCCAATCATGACAATCCTAACCGGCAGTCCATTCCACAAGCCCCTAAACCCAATCTCGCTGTAGATGCGCGAAGTGGCCGCACCAGCAGCCTCACCAGGCTGCTTGTTCGCGTTGAGCTTCGATACCATCACGTCTGCGGGGTGCGAGATGATGGCGCAGAGGATACCGGCGAGGTAACCGCCGGTAAAGGAGACACCGGTTTGGGCGGCCTTGCCGTAGTCGGATTTCTTGCCGGGAAGGTAGCCGTAGATTGCTTCGACGATGGTTTCGAAGGAGGCGAATTTCATCATGGTGTAGCTGGGGATTGTTAGTAGGGGGTTGGAAAGAGTGGGGTGCCCGGACGGAAGTTAGGCACGGCACGTAAGGGGTGGAACTTACGGGATCTGGCGGCCCCAGAGTGGGTATAGGCCCTTGTAGAGCCCGCCGAAGCCTTCCTTGGCTGTGATGATGCTCATGCCGTTGAAGGTTCCTGTAGCGAAAGGTGGCATGGTGGTTTGCATCCTGACCTTGATAGCTTCGAAGGGGCAGAGAGCAATATCAGCAATGAATTCTGCTGAAGCAGATGCGGCGAGGTACACTGCGGTCTTGTACTTGACCGCCGCTTCTGGGCCAACAACGTCACTGTACGTCTTCTTAAAGTACTCGTATCCACCATACTTGAACATGCCCTGCGCCGAGTACCCAAAGAATGTTGGGCTCCATCCAGTGTAGATTCCACGGAAGCCTTCAGCTCGGGCAATCTTACCCCAGGCCTGGAAGTTACCTGTGTAGAGCTTCGAGTCGACCTGGCGACGACACTTCACGAGATCAAGCGGCGTGATAAATGTGTGGGTCAAGCCACAGGCAAGCAGCCCACCAAAGGAGCAGGCGGCATAGTATTTCCCGGAGTAGAGCTCGATACGGCCTGTCTTCTCTTGCGCCTTGGCGCTGGCCTTTTCGAACTCCCGCGCAGCCTCGTCACTGAGAGCTTTGGCTTTGTCTTTGGCATCGTCAATTATGGACCAGGTCGGGAAGAGCTCAGCGCGAGCTTGCAATGGAGTCCGTGTTGGTTGGGCAGGTGCATTGGCTTTAAGACCCGACGATTGGAACACGCTGTTGAGCGCGTCCGATGTTGGGAATAGAGACGGCATTGCGATTGACAGCTGGTTCAATAGTTAGTATCTTCGATTTTCGTCCCAATTGCATGTTGTAACCCAAAGAGAAACGGTTTCATACCCACTTTCTAGAACAGCTCTATCCGTAAGGCCGTGCGTGATAGCTTCTAAGTGCGATTGGCGACGTCAACCACTTGCGCGACGGTATGAGATTCACAACAATCAATGGGCTATACAGTACCAGCCCAATAACATGCACTCTAAGGCTCTGGAAGATTTAAATAGAAAACTAGGAGAGAGTTAAACGGGTTGCTTTAACATGAGACGTGAACAGATGCAAGATCCGGAGATAAGGTGAGAGGTGTAGGATCGTGCATGGCTGACGTAATGACGTAGTGGACGAATCGGAACTGGGTAGCCCGGAGGTGTGTCAACACAGGGTTGTTTATGTTTGTCCTTCATATACTCTATATATGTGACCATATCCTAGGTGTCCATGGGACAACCAGAGCAGAATCGAGTTATCCCTGAGCCGCGCATATGATAAATCTGGGGTGCAGACAAGCCGCTTCATACAGGAGCAAGCCACTTTGCATAGAACTCTATGTAGAGGGCATGCTTTCTTCAGATGAGACTGTAAGATTGACTCCAGCAATGGATGAGATGGTAATTATATGAAAAGGTAAAGAATTCAAACAATGAAGGAGCCCTCAAGGGGATGTATGAGGAATGCTGAGAATGCCACTCTCTTCGTAGCTGCTCTTGGACGTCATTGATCGGTTTCCCTTGCCTTCATTGTAAAACCTAATTTGACATTGCAATTTATCAGGGATTATAGAGTCATAGCTTGTTATACGCTTTGTCTTATAGTTCTCATGGGCCCCGGTCTCTCCTACACTCGTAGGGGCTTGATATGCCGACTGCCCGCCAAGCTCTGGGGTATTAACAGAAATAGCAATTGAAGGAGATCGCATTTAACATTTTACCCACGATGCCGCCGCATTTAGAGAATTTCGAAGGAATCTCCAATTTGTTGTATTGTCTTTGATTTCAAATGATATTTACGGGTTAATAAATAGGCCAAGTCTGGGCTTTCAAGTATTCGCCTAAAGAAGCGAGACCGTCAAACTAAAGCAAACTGCTGCCCCGCCTCGATAATAAGCCCAAAAACTCACAAACTTACAAACTCAAGGCCCGGAGCAGTGCCCGCACACACAATGGCTACAGCTAACCACACCGAGGCGGCTTCGTCGCCGTTCCACTCCAAATGGTCTGACAAGTACCGCGGCGTGAGTACCTTCCTCGATGACCCCAAAGCGGATAACATCTAACTGACCCCCAGGCCACTGTCGAGGACCTCGACCCACCCTCCGCGCTCTCCTGCAACCCCTCCGACCCGATCTCCTATGCGCTCCTCACGGCCTTCGAGAGGGACTACACGCACCTTACGGTCGTCTCGCAAGACACCCGCGCGCTGCTGGGCTACCTGAGCATACCACGTCTGCGCGAGCTGATACAGCAGGGGACGGTGAAGGAGACGGACCCGGTGTCGGCAGCGATGATCAAGTTCAGGAGGAAGGCGAATACGTATAAGGTCATCACGATGGACACGCCGCTGGAGGAGCTGGAGACGTTCTTCATGAAGGGAAACGATGGGCAGACGCCGCAGGACTTTGCGGTTGTGACGGATCTGAGTCGGCGGTTTGTGCTCGGCGTTGCGACTGTCCATGACCTAGAGGAGTTTGCGAGGAGGAGACCAGCTTGAGACAGAAGATATATATCAGTGTGAGGGGAGGTTGCTGTCAGCGGAAGGCTCCTTGATGGAGCACAGCTTTTTTGCTGGCCTTGCTCTCAACTTCGCATTTCGATGGGGAGAGGGACAGCAGTGGCGATCTCAAACCACGGCCGTTATGGGCATTTTGTTCCTTGGCGGCCCTTTGTTCTTTCTGTTTTGAATTGGGGGATCAAGGTGGGAAGCAGCACCGGGTATCGACGCGGGAGTTGCGGGGAAGCATCTGGTAGAGACGACAGCTGCCTGATATTGGTACCGGGGTAGACAAAGTCAAGGGAGTCTTGGAACTGTCATTTATTCGGGGGATGTCGGGGTTTGATATTTAGCCTCGACGGAGTTGGTTGGTACAGGCGTTGTTATCAGCAAGCAAAACAGACGATTAGCTTCTTCTTACCTCATGAGATGCAATGCAATGGTGCACGCCAATCACTGATACAACTTGCCATCAGGCCGAGGATCAATAGTCAAGGTGCCAACCATTGTGCTGTGCCTGGCTGGGTGACATGTTTTTTGTACTGCATGCTGCATGCTGCATTACATGATACATTCTTGCCATGTGTCTATGATGTCTTGGCGTGAATGGGCAATTGATATTTCTTTCCAATGCCCTTTGGTAGAGCGGCAATAGATTTGGTAGTCTGATGGTATGGTGATCCGTCTGATCCCCAACCAGACACCATGGTATGGGCCACTGAATCACTGCATCACTGCATCCTGCATCACTGCATCCAGCATCACTACATCACTGAATCACTCCATCCACTGCATCCAACCCCTGCTCTTTTCCTTATCGCCCTATCTCCAAAAATGGTAAATGGGCGAAAGATGAAAGATAAGGGATAACAACGACTCACAGCTGCCCACTCACCCATTATTCAGACTGTTGACTTGCGCTTTTACCAAGTGTCGCTACGACTATTCCCACCTGCATCTAATATTAAGTCCCTTAATAGGCTTCTTGCTACTCTCATTGCACCTCATCCTAGCACGCGCTTGCCTCATCTGCACGCAAGGCTCTCACACGGGAAGTCTCGTCATACAGCCTTGTCACTCCCTTCTCTTTTACTCAGGTCTTCCGTCCTTTCTCTTCTTCTCTCAAGTTTCTCTATTCTTCGTCTCAACGTCACAGACGAGACAAAACAAAAGACAATAGTGGATACAATCCCCATCTCCACCTGTACAATGTCGGAGCGCAAGTCGATTGAGAGCATCAGCCACGGCCGCGGCGGTACGAAGCCTCGTCCTCCCTCCCCCAAAACCTCGTCTCTAACAAACCCTTCCCAGGAGCCGGCAACATTGGCGCCGATGACACCCCGTACGCTCCCCCTCCACCCCTCCATTCTCACACTAACACCAACCCAGCTACGCCGACGGCGAAATCGTGCGCGAAGGCCTAGCCGGCGACCATGGCGACGGCCCCTACAGCTCCGGCCGCGGCGGCGTCGCCAACATCGGCTCTCCCGGCCTCGCGGCCGCAAAGCGCAACGATAAGGAGGTTATCCCCGCCGAGGCGCTAAGGGATGAGGAGGATACGAATCACCATGTTGGGCGCGGGGGACAGGGGAATGTGCATGTGGCTAAGGAGGGTGGGAAGCCGCATCCGACGGGATTGGCGGATAAGTTGAAGGCGAAGCTTTTTGGGAAGAAGGTTAAGGGGGAGACGGCTTAGGTGGTGGTAGGAGCGAGGTGTGGGGGGAGTGTTGGGGTTTGGAGGCGCGCGCGAGGTATGAGGAGGAGTAATGGAGTGCAGCAAATTGGAGCAAGCAGCAAATTCGTGTTCGATTTTAGTCTACCAACATTCGGGTGCATACGATGCGAGCTGGTTAAGCTAGCCCGTGAAGTTGCACCTTCCAAACGAATATAAATAAAAGCTAATTCACATATTCATCCTGGGACCAATACATAACCCCAACAATGGCTGGCAAAATTTCCTCCTACCTTCAACCCTCTCATCCAAAAGAGTGCAAGTATTGCTATGATGACTACCTCTACGATGACGACAACGATTACAGTGACGAGAAAACAATTCCCAGAGCAAGATCGGGCCTGACTCGCGGGGGATTTTATCTCGAGTTCTCCAAAATCATTCTGAGCATCATTGTGATCATCATTGTTTTTATCAGCATTATATGGTGTGAATTGTGGATTTTGTGGAATATCCTAAAGACTGGAAATATTGACTTGTTAGCATTAAATTCACCTGTACTTTTACATGAACTAATATTCAAGTACAGTATCGCCGATCCGTCACCGTCTACCCCGCCATCTCGCTAACCCCAAGCTCAATCCCACTGACCACCTCACCCCTCCAACCTCACCCCTCCAACCTCACCCCTCCAACCTCACCCCTCCAACCTCACCCCATTCACACCACCCACCATGAATCCACCACCAGAATACCTCGCCTGGTCAGCCAGCGACTTCGACTTCCTCGCCCCTCACCTCCCTCCCCCCACCTCCTCCCCCTCCGCCACCCCCTGCAAACCCCACTTAACCCTCACCTACGCCACCTCCCTCGACAGCATGCTCGCCGCCCGCCCCGGCGTCCGCACCACCCTCTCCGGCCCCGCCACAAAAACAATGACCCACTACCTACGCAGCAAGCACGCCGCAATCCTCATCGGCGCCGGCACCGCCCTCGCCGACGACCCAGGTCTGAACTGCCGTCTCGCTGGCGCGGCAGACGGCGAGGACCCGCTGCGCTGGCAGCCGCGGCCTGTGATACTTGATCCGCGCGGACGGTGGAAGGTGGAGGGGAGTAAAGTGCTCCGGCTTGCGCAGGAGGGTACGGCGCGGGCGCCGTGGGTGGTTACCGATTTGGCGTTTGTGGATGATGAGAAAGCGGAGGCGTTGGAGGCGGTGGGGGGTGCGGTTATTGCGTTGGCGACGGAGGAGGAGGGGGAAGGAGGGGGGTTGCGGTTTGGGTGGGGGGATTTGTTGGGGGTGTTGGCGAGTCGGGGGGTGGGGAGTGTGATGGTTGAAGGGGGGGGAGGGTGATTAATGGGTTGTTGGAGGAGGGGGGGGAGGGGTGGGTGGATGCGGTTGTGGTGACGGTTGCGCCGAGGTGGTTGGGCAGGGGGGGCTGGCGGTTGCGCCGGAGAAGGAGGGGGAGGAGGGCGCGGCGGCGGAGTTGAGGGGGGCGAAGTGGGTGCAGATGGGGGAGGATGTGGTGGTTTGTGGGACGTTGGGGTGATGGGCGGTGTTGAGGTGGGGATGGAGAATTGGCGGCGAAGATAACTTTACACATACTCTATAGGACAAACAGGAGGAGGATAATACCTGGGGGGAAAAGCCCGGGTCAGATAATAGAAACGAAAAGGGTCTCAGGAGCGTTATGATATCTTTGCTCTATAATATGTAATGCCGTCTCTTAATTTTGAGTTTCTCTATCCGGCCCTCCATCTATCAACATAAAGCAGCCTCCCTCTCTCCACCTTAAAAGATCGAGTTGACAATGTTCCCTCCAATCGTAGCACCCGCACCAAAGATAGCCGCATTACCCAACTTCGACCCAAACTTCTTCCCCATCTCCCCAGCTTTATTCGGCTTCCCCTCCTCCGGCTGCTGCGGCTGCTCCGCAATCGCCACCGGCGGCACCGGGTTATTGTAAGGGTTGCTCGGGCCGGGCTGGTATTGCTGTGCCTGCTTCTGATCTCCGTAGTATGCGTTCTGCTGTGGCTGTGCCTGCGCCAGCGACGACGGGAAGTTCTCGCGCCTGATGTAGTTGGAAGGGAAGACGCCCTCCTCGCCCGAGCGGATGTTCTTCCCCATCCACCACTCGGCATTCACGAACTCGGTCACGGAGATGCTATCTCCAGGCTGCAGGTTGAGGTCGCGAGCATCGGGCGTCACGTAGGCCCAGAGGGCGACGGCGTGGGCGATCTCTCTGTGATTCGAGGGGGGTGGTGGGGGAGGAGGTTGGTGATGTTGCGCTTGTTGGTAGGAGGGTGGTGCGTGGGGTGAGTTTCGGTCTGTGGATGAGTTGGCTTCGGAATAGGATGTGTTCGGCGCTGGGGTGGGGGTTGGTCTGGCGTTGAGCGATGCCTCGGCGGGCAGGGCGTTGATTATCGTATCATATTGGTCGTCCGAGATGAAACCACGCTCGGCGAGGGCTTCGAGTTCCTGCCTCTTGTTAGCGCTGTCTCAATGAACGGTAATGGTTAAACTGTACAGTCTTGATAAGCCTGAGAGACTTGTTATTGGCGGCACGCTGCGCTCGTTCTTCGGACATGGTATATTGATTAATATGGATTTCCTAGAAAGTGGTGTTGAACGATTGCCACCCGTTATCTTGAAGTTGTGTTTATAGGTGGCTATATTTAGCGGCTGCTTCCCCTGCTACCCGCTACATCGCTAAGCCACACTCGCCCAGCAAGCATTAGCCCAGAACCCCGCCTCAAATTAACATGAGTCGTGGCGTAATGAACACAATTATCCTACACCCACACAAGCGAGTGGCCCACGAAAACACCACAATCTAACTATTGCAACTACTACAACTACAGTTCTCACGCGATAAGTCGATATAATAATTCCTCTAGATAATATCGAGATATACTGAATATCAAGTAATCAAACCATTATGTAAGCCAAACGTCCAATGTGCCCTAAATGCCCTCATTTGCCCTTTTGACCACTAATTCCCTTTCTATACGCTCTAAAGAACGGAGCATAGCTGCTGGCTCCCTTATGCCACTATTCCTAGTTTCCGTAAAGTCAATCAGAACTTAGAGGGCTTGTAGAACTGCCTACGTAGAATGAACCACCGGCAGTCTAAGCTCCTCCCCATCGTCATCATCTTGACCTTCATTAGGAGGCTGGATATATTGTTCAATGACCTCTTGTAGTACTATATCCCCCTCGCTATCTTGTATACCCTCTTGTATTGTCTCCTCCGCTGGGTTTAGAAAGTTTGAAAGGTCCATCGCATCGTGAATTCGGCCGTGCTGTTGTACTTGGTTGTAAAGGTTAGTAAGAGGTGGAATGTGCTCGAGAGGAAGTTGGATCAGGTTTTTGATGATTGTGCTTTTGCGGAAGCAGTTGTAGATAGTCGTATTTGAGACATCATGATACCACAATCGGATGATCTAGCAAAGGGCAAGGTGTAAGTTAATAGTTTTAAGGGATCTTCATTGTTATTGAAGGCGTTTAGCATGAACACAAGCCATTGTCAATGATAATGAGCTTTAAGGGAGGCAATAATGCCTTAATCAAGGGCCTAGAATCGACTTGTTGCATTTGCTAGTAGCTAATAATTTGTATATTTGAGGGCGGAGGCGTTGTTTCGATGGCAGCAATATGTGCTGAAAAGTTGTCCATTATTAGCAGAGTCTGTCTATAAGAGCCTATATGTAAATAGAAAGCTCTTGGCCATTCTGCCATAATAAACTGATTCATCTAAGCCTTCTTGTTCCATCACTACTAACCTCCCATTGCTTCAACATTAATATACCAGAGTGCTCGAGGTTTCTTCGCCTTTCTAATAAACCAAATTGGCATCCGATTAGCTCCTATATAGTTTGTATAACAAACAACTGATATTCATGCCTTGTCCTTCTTAGATCCTAGCTGTGATATTGTTAAAAGACCCTTTGAAGGAGTTAGCTTCTAAAAGAGCCTAGTTTCGTCTATGTTATAAATGTCCTCCTCTTGATATTCCCCTGCTATTGTCTGTATCCCCTTCATTTCTTCCTCTGCTTATGTAGGAACTGAGCTTGCTTCGCCGTGTTGAGTATAACTCTTAATCTTATGTCGTCTTTTAAAATTCGAAACCTAGCCTTGAGAGAATTGAGGCGTAGGCTAGTTGTGGTATTGTGGAAGTTGCTCCTAAATCGTTTTAGCATGTAGTTGTAGTATATCGGTGCTTGTAACTCCTCCCTTGCTTTTAATAAGCTGCTGCCATTTAAAGAGGACTGCTTTAAGGTCAGGCTAGGCAACAGCTTTGCGACGGTGAGTTCATTGCTGAATTGTGATAAGAGGTATTATATCAAGGTTGGCGTATCGAGAGCTTAAAGATTCGGAGACTGTTGACTGTCGAATACGATGGCCGAAGGTTCTAAAGAACCAGTCGATAGAGACTTTTTACGAGGCTTTGGTAACTGGTGAGCACACCAGTTTCAGAGTGCGCTGTAAGGACACAGGGCACCCAGCTCACAGTAATAGCATATGGGAGTGCGAGTCGGAGGCTAAACGGATGCTATCCTATAGGTCTACTACGAAGGATACAAAAAAGATGAGGAGAGGAACCCCGTTGGTGTAAGGACACAGGGCACCCAGCTCACAGTAATAGCATATGAGAGTGCGAGTCGGAGGCTAAACGGATGCTATCCTATAGGTCTACTATGAAGGATACAAAAAAGATGAAGGGGGAACCCCGTTGAGTCTGTTTCCTTAACTCCCGAAACGGGCCCGACTCGGTTATCCCAACCCTAGCCCTGAACCTTCCACCGCAACAGGTCTGCATCGGCCCTGAACCCTATACACTTACCGTCCCCCACTATAGTGTAACTCGCTATATGCTCCTCTACTGGTTCGAAACCCCACCGAGTCGGATTCCATGCTTGTAGTGACCGTAACAGTTCTGAGACAGGTTCTTCAAGTATCTAGGTACGGAGGCATCCTTACACTACCCCCCGTCGTAAGAGAGTGCTTTGTCCGCAAAGCACGCCGCCCGCCTATGGTCTGGAACCCATCCGGGTAGCGTCAGTGACTTGGGCGTTCTTTGTCATAGGGTTTGCGCGCGTGGCCGCATTAGTGACAACCGCATTGGTCTGATGTGCCGGGAGATGGAAAAAAATAATCCTGGAGCAGTACTACCGTATCAGCTCCGTCTGGTATGCGACTACTTTTTGTTTTCTTTGTTTAATCTCTAGCTTAGTGGTGATGGTCCGAATGAGCACCGGGAGGTATCCGCTACAGGTACGCGTTGAAAGTTCCCCATCGCGCAAGGAGGGTAGCTGCGCTAACCCGATTCGGGTGTCATTGTTGTAAGCCAAATCTGAGTTCAGAGCTTCGCCCACTTTCTCATTTTTTATTCTTTGCTTCACAACAACAACGCCCACAAGCCGACCTCCGAGACCAGTAAGTGGCCACTCCCCGTCCGTTTCTTGATCATCTACTAACTGATTGTATAGGATATCCACAATCTGAACGAACGAGTAGGTGATGGGAGCGCGTTGGCGCGCTGGTGATAACTTGGGCTTGGCTAACGGAATCGCAGATTCAATTCAAATCCAAAGAATCGAAGATGCCGGTTCCGACCCCCTCCGGGGCCCTTACAGTTGCCTTCCGTGTGCTCTGTTTGTGCTGCCTTCGGGCCAAAGCCCGTGGGATCCAGTCCCACGACTGCGTCTGGTCCTCGACCAGTTCGAAGTGTGGGTACTGCACCGCGCAGCACTCGCCTTGCGTCCCGGTAGGTTTTCTTCTGGGGTTCAGTGTTTGGTTTGGTTGGCCGTTGCTGACTTTGGTGGAAGCTGCCCTGGTTCCTCGGGGAAGAGTTTGCAGCCCTCCTGGCCGCCGAAGAGGCCACCCCCCTCATCCCCGCCGAAGTCGTCGCCGCCGCCACCGAGGCCAATCGGGTGGCCCTCCTGGCCGCCCAGAGCATGCCAAAGTTCCGCTCCGAGGCGGAGCGTGACCTCTACGAGGAGGCACGCGCCACTCGAGCTGCCCTCGAGTTGGGGCTGGCCGTGAGTAGACCCCCTTCCCCTTGTGACTCGGTATGGTTTCGATGCTGACTCTGGGCAGCAAATTCAGTCGTCGCTGCGCCGTCTTCGGACGGAACAGGAGAGCGTTCCTGCTCTCTTGGGGGAGTTGGTGGCTGCTGTGGGCAAACTGCCCACCGCTGCCGCTCCCGCGGTCGCTCCGACTCGGGGTGATGGAAGGAGGGAGGGGGAGGATGGGGAAGTTGGGGTGGCCTACGGGGCCTAGGTGGGGGAAGACCTTGTGTCGGAGGGGACTCGGGCCTGGCCCTTCGCGTGGGGTCACTTCGACCCTTCGTCTCTCATGGTGGTAGCCGCTTGTTGCGACACCGGTGAGACGTTTGGGAAGGGTGGCTCCCGCAAGGGTTACGGTGGTGAGTGCGCCCTGGCTCGGAGGGTATATTTAGTTTAGAGTCGCAGACAGCAACGACTCTGTTTCTTCCGCTTTGTCTTTCCCTCCGTGATCGTAGTTTTGTTCCTTTCCCGTCTCCCCTGCCGTAACACCTCCTAGTAGTTCGTGAGGTGGACCTGGTAAGTCTGGGTATTCCGTATGAAACTCCCTGAGTTTCTGGGGAGAGTTCATGAAGTTTGACGCTGGGTACCACTCCGGGTCCGGATCGTATCCGACCCAACTAACCCGGTATTGTAGTTGCTTTCAGTGGACCCTTACGGCGAGGATCTTTTCCACTTCCCATTCCTCTATGCCGTCTATCACTTCGCTGCTAGGCTCAGGCGGATCCTGACCAGGTAGGGGATTGTTCGGATCCTTCATAAGTACGTCTGGTGAAAACACATCGTGTATTTGAGAACCGCTAGGTAGTTCCAATCGAAATGCGTGCCCAACCCGTTCCACCACCGTATATGGTCCGACCCATTGTTGGCCCAGCTTGCGGCTAGGACGAGAGTTTTTAAAAATTTTGGTCGATAGGTACACTCTATCTCCTACGTCCCAGTCGATGGCCCTTCGGCATCGATTCGCGTGCTTAGACATTTCATCTTGTGCCTTTGCCATGTTTTCCTTTGCGTGGACCCATGCGGTATGCATTCGGTCTGCCACCGCCTTGGCTTCCCCTCGGTTTAGGGTCTCCCGGGGGTTGGTGCTTTTCGGAGTGTTCCAATCCCAACTCGTACGCGGATCGGTTCCGTACTTGAGTCGGTAGGGGGTCATGCCAATGGATGCGTGGGGGAGTGTCATTTGCACGCGGTCCATTATGGGGATGAGCTCGCTCCAGTTATCCTGATAATGGGATACGAAGGGCCTCAGTCTCTGATCGATGTATCGGTTCATGATTTCCGTCTGCCCGTCGGTCTGCTTATGATAGGCAGTCGACAGCTTAACCTTAACGCTGATAATTCGACAGAACTCTTGCCAAAAGGATGATACAAATTGGGGTCCGCGGTCGCTTACAATCGACTCCGGAGTGTGTCCGAATCGGTATATCCATTTGATGAACAATTGCGCCATCTGGCGGGCAGTTATGGTTTTGTAGCAAGGTATTGTCACTGAACTCTTTCCGAGTCGGTCCATAAACACTAAGATGCTATCGTATCCATGCTTGTCCCTTGGGAACTCCTTGAAGTCCATGGTGAGGTGTTGCATAGGGTACTCGGGTACGGGTAGTGGGTGTAGAAATCCTTGTTGCTTAGTGACATTGGTGTGAGAAAGCCGGCATGTCACGCAGTTTCGTACATACCGCAAACAGTCCGTTTCCATCCCGACCCAATGATACTTTGGGGTGAGCAATTGGTAGGTTTTCCTGCCACTTGGGTGTGCTGACGACACTTGATCGTGCGCTTCTCAGATCAGTTTCATACATAGGTCAGTGTGGCGATTCACACATAGGCGGCCTTTGTATAGGAGGAGCTGGTCGTTCATCGCGAATCCGTCCGGTAGGGGTTGTTTCGCGCGAGTCTCGGTGAACGACTTCCGATTGTCCGCACATAGCGCCTCTATTAAATTGAAGGGCACCTGGGGCTTGGCGGTGTCCATTGAATTAATGGATGCTATGTAGCTCTCGGCGAGTTCGGTGCTGATTCGGTGGTGTAGGCGGCTTGGACCTAACAATACCCTTGCCCTACTATTAAGTTTGACTTTTTGCTGCGTTACCAGGTCTTGGTCTCTTCGGCTCAGAATATCAGCCTTCTGATTATTCTTGCCTGCGGTGTACGTGATGCAGAAATTGAAGTCGGAGAGTAGCTCCATCCACCGAACCTGTTTCGCTGTGAGAATCTTGGTAGACATGAAATATTCCAATGAACGGTGATCAGTGTAGATGTCAACTCGGTGGCGTACCGAAGCCAACTCGGGCCTCCATTTTCCAAAGGATTTAACGATTGCGAATAGTTCCTTGTCGTGGATCTCCCAGTTGATCTCATGTCCGGATAGGACGTGACTGTAGAAGCTTACTGGGTACCATCGCTTGTCAGGGTGTTCTTGAGACAGGACACCAGCTACCACTCCATCAGAGGAGTCAGTCTCCAGCTTCGTAGGCAATTCGGGGTTGAAGTGGTGAAGTGCCTGTACCGCTAAAAGTTGTTGTCGCAATTCCTCGAACGCATCCTCACATTCGTCTGTCCACCGGAACGGCTCTGAGGGACTAGTGATGGTGGTGAGGGGCTTTGCTATTTTGCCAAAATTACGAATGAATTGTCTATAGAAGCCACAGAATCCCAGGTAGGACTTCACACCCGTAACAGTGGTCGGTCGGATCCAGTTACGAAGGGGTTCGATTTTGTCAGGGTCCGCTTCGACACCGGAGGTAGTGAGAACATAACCCAAGTATTTTGTCCTGGTGACGTTGAACTCGCATTTGTTCAAATCAGCTTGGAGTCCAGCTTCTCGGAGACGCTGTAGGACCTTATGCACATGGTCTATGTGTTCCGTAGGGTCCTCTAAATAGATTAGGATGTCGTCTAAGTATGCGGTACAGAAGTCGTCCAAGTATTGCATCAGGACGTCATTCATATACCGCTGATAGGTTGCGGGACCGTTCGTCAGTCCAAATGGCAGCACTTTGCACTTATAGGATCCATAGCGAGTCCGAAAGGTCATGTACTCTTCCGAGTCGGGGTGCATCCATATACGATGGAAGGCTTGTCTAATATCTAGCTTCGTGAAGATTTTTGCTTTTGACACCCGTCCTAGTAGTTCATCGATACGCGGGATGGGGTAGGGATCATTCTGGGTGAGACCATTTAACTTCCGGTAATCGATGCAAAATCTTAATTTGCCATCCGCTTTCTTTACGAATAGGATAGGGGATGCGAAGGGGCTGTTGCTGTTGACGATGAATCCCTTTTCCAGGTTTCCATCAGGTATTGCTTCATAGCCTTAAGCTCTTCGGTGCCCTGTCGATATAACAGGGAGAAAGCGTTTGGTAAAGGGGCTTCGAGCTGTATCTTGTGGTCGTATATGCGGTGGGGGGGGATTCGATCCGATTCCAACTTCGAAAAGACATCGATGTACCTCCGGTGCATATTCGGAAGCTTCTGCTGGATGAGGCGGAGCGTTTCTTCGTCCTCTACCAACTCCTTTTCATGAATGATCTGATCGATTTCGTAGATGCTAGTCTGAAAAAACTCGGAGTCGTTTCGCATCATCTCGTGGTGGAAAGCATTTGCACTGATTTCGCATATATGGGCGTAAACCTATGTACTAGGGTTTTCTGCGGTGGGGGAGAAACCTCCTGATTTCATGGTGGGTTCGATGGCGTATCAGTGATCTCTTCGTAGTCGGAAGTTATCACTTTCATTTCCATTGAACGTCCGCCTGCGCGGCGTCTGTCTTTGTGGTGGATTGTGAAATCCCGGCGATTCGCATCCGACTGGTATGCAGGATGTTTAATGGACGTTTCACGTGAGTGGTAGGGCAAGGTGATCTCCTTGCTCCAGCTAGGAGTCGGCGGGTACTCCTTTGGCCATACTAACCGGCTCTTTGCAGAGTCGAGTAGTATTCGGAAGCGGCTGAAAAGCTTCTTCCCAATTATCACATCTTGTGCTCCGAGGTCCAGGAGTACAAAGGGGCAGTTATATATTCGGCGTCCTTCGACTGTTAAGTGTAACCGAATATACTCCGATACGTGGCCTTGGATTTTGCGCTGAAATCCACGTATGGGTACAGAGTAGGGTAGTTTCCGTATAGGGCTCTGAAGTGCTTTCGACAGTCGTATTGCGAAAGGCTTGTTAATGACGAGGTAGCCGTTTGCTCCTGTGTCTGCTAGGGACTTCGTTTGCACCCTGAGTCCATTCATACTCAGGGTCGTGTCGACTAAGAACTGGGTGCCTCCCAGGAGTTCTCGTAAGTCTAGTCCTCGCAGGTCACATTTGCGTAGACCTAGGAAGGAGCCTTCTCCTAGGCCTTATCGTTTTCCTCGAGGGACGCATCCGATTGAAGTTCCACATCTTCTTCCCATTGTTCTTCTGCCTCGGGGTCATTACGGTCCATTTCCTTGATAGTGGCGTTAAGGGGGCATTTGTCCTGGAAATGGCCAGGCTTGCCACACTTGAAACAGTTTCCTGAGGGCGCAGGGACTGCGGTTCTCAGACGTTCCGGTATGGCTGGCTTGGGGAGGAACGCGGTTCGGGTGAACAGAGCGGATGTGGCTCGAGTCGGCTTCGACGCTGATGACGCCTTTGCCGTATCCGTGGTACGTGTGGACGTCCTTGCGAGAGTGGGTAGAGGATTCAATTCGTTGTTCCGGCGCCGTTCCTGGTCGAAAGCGGTAAGTTCTCGTACCATGGTCTGGTATTCTCCCTTCCATTGGTTTTTGATGATCGCGACGCGGCTGCGGAATTGAGGAGTCAACTTGTTCCACATGTACCGAAACCATTCCGACTCGGAGACTTGTCCGGTGGTGTAGGATAATTGTGTTCATTACGCCACTATGTTCATTAGGCCACGACTCACGTTATGTAACTGCAGCTCAGAATCACCCATCAAGTATCCAAGATATGATTTCGCTTTTCTCTACTAGAATCTTTCCAATTATCCCCTCCGATCCCTCCAGTTATAACCCCCATAATACATATTAAAGTACTTGTAAGTAGTTACGCTAATCAAAAGGCCACACCCTTTCTACTTTGCGGAGTGATATGCAAAATGGTATCTCAATGTTGGCCCCTCACGCATCCATCCACCCACCCCCCTACCTCGATCTTGGCTCCACTACAACAACAACCACCAGGCTGGTGACCATCAAGGCCCCTGTTACCGCAGCCAGAAGGGCAATGCTTCCCCTACTCGCCGGGAACTTGCCTTTCGTAACCCAGTGTTGCGCCTCAAAGTATCGGTGGAATCCAATAAGAAGGACCACTATCGAGATCCCTAGGAAGGCAGCACCGAGCGGCTTACCCAGGCCACGGAAGTGTATCGCCGAGGCACTGGGCTCGGGTGTCGTGCCTGCGGGGGCCGAAATAGTCGTGTTGAGGCGGAAGAGTTGTGTGATTGCTATGCCAATCGATGCGAATGCGAGGGAAGTTCGTAGCCATGCGAGGAAAGTGCGTTCTGTGTGCAAGTTAGCATATATCCCAGCAACCCATAGATTCAATGCGAGGCCGTACCTAAAGCAAGATGATCCCTCGCCACGCTTCCTTTATTCTCTAGTTCCAGGCTCCCATACTTCCCAAGCTGTTTCTTCCACCACGGCTCCTCCCTCTCCTCCCCATTCGTCTGTTGCTCGATTGCCGAAGTTTGAACCGCCGACCCTCGCCGCCGACGGCTCTGGCTCTGACTACCTGTCCTGCTCTGCGTCCTCGTCGTCAGGCTAAGCTGACTATTCCTGCTGCGTACTTTATTTGTTCGCTCCGTCGTAGCCCCATACTCGCCATCGCCATTCGCTCTTGCAGCGCGCCCATGAGCCACGATTGGCCTGCGCTCGTCAGGCGTGTGCTCGTCGGTGCTGCTGCTGCCGTCCATTGGGGTGTCTGTAGCTATGCCTTCGTGCTGTGCAAGGCGTTGGACGTCGTCGTCTGTGAGCCGCGAGGTGGATTCGAGGCCGAGGGCTTCGCTGCGGCGGCGGCCGGTCTCGAGGATTGAGTTTATATTGGCCCTGGTGGTAGAGGAGGAGGAGGTCTTGGAGGCGGGGTTGGGGGTCGTGTGTGGTGGTCGCGAGGTGCTGGGTTGGGGGTGCGAGGGGTCAGATGGTGCAATTTCGGACTGCATGGTGTAGATCTGTGTGACAGGGGGGTCGATCTGTGTGAGGGAGTTAGTGGGCGAGGGCAGCGTTGGTGTTACGGCATGGAAGGGTTATGGCGTTATTTGTGGTGGATGATAAAATGACTCTTTTTTGGAGATTTATGGATTCACGAGTGGGGCGATAAAAGGGTGAGGGGAATTAGAACAAAGGGAGTATAGTTTCCTAATAAAAGGCGGGATACTTGAATAATAGCGTTGCATGGAACTTGGCCTGTGGGGATTCTGCCCCGGAGCTTAATCGGGCGGTGAGGAAGGTTGGAAGGTGGCTTTGAGAAGCGACATCAGATGTCAGACTACGATGTTCACCCGTTAGTGAAGGTATAATCGTCCATCAATTGGTATTCTACCGAGGCACAGATAGGTAAATATGAGGCAATGACATATGCTGTGTTTTCGATATTTACTTCATTGCTAGAGACACGCAAAGGTGTGCATGCTGTACGTGGTGTGCAACAGCTAAGTATGTCTCTGTCGTCCGAACTGTCAGTCATCAGCCGCCACGTTGTCACACCAGACAACCAGCCCGTGAAACAGGCACCTTAAACTACCAGCGTTGTGCCCTCCTACACAACTTCCTCGTAGAATACTCCTGGCTGGCAGATGGCCACCCGTTGGCTGATCTCGAGCGACGCTCATTCTTTGAGCGCTATGGGGACAAGGCCGAGGAGATCCGTGAGCGACTAGACCCCGCACTGATCGCCTTCCTCGAAGCAGCATACGATGTGCGGCCACAGCAATGGCCTAATGTACCATCAGAAGCAATGCAAGGCGACAATGGCATTGAGGATTTTTAACATGGAATCTTCACAGCCGATTGAGGACCATCCCGAGCTGTGGCACCCCCTCGAGACTGTCCTGGGCAATTGGATCCACATGATCCAGCTAGGCAAGATCACAGCCACCCCAGAAGAAACTGATTGCGAGAAGCAGGGACTATGGGCATGGCATTCGTATGGCGAAGCACAGATCGACAACACCGTCGCCGCGTTTGACCGACTCGTGGAGGCGATCGAGTCCCGTATGCCAGCAGAGTCGCCCGCGAAGCCTTTGTTTCAAGCCAAGTATTCACCACTGTGGACACCTCCTCCGATGACGATTATGATGACAAGGTGATTGTTCCACCGGTTTTGCTGTTCCGCGCGACAAACCTCACAGCGAACTTTGACTGGGAGGACAAGTATCGGTCACTCAATCCGTATAGAGTTGCGAAAGGGGACCACTGTGTCCCAGTAGGTTTGTATAGCGAGTCAGTTCCGCGTTCAGTAATAGATTATGCGGAGGAGGGCTTTCGACTTATCTTGCCGTTTTCGCTGTGGGGAGGAGAGCGTGGGGTGAGGAAGAGCAAAGGGCAGGACATTGAGAAGGGATCGGTGGCGGATTTGTTTCAGCATGGGTTTAAGCCGTTTGGTGGTGACTGGTGGCGGGCTCAGCGGCTGGAGAGGCTGTTTGGGAAGTGGACTGAGCTTGTGGAGAGGGGGGTATGGGATGTTGATAGGAGGGGTGTCGCGGGGACGATTCTCAAGTTTGATGATGCAAATAAAGGGGCATGGAGGGATTATTTTATCGAGCCCGTGCTGATTATAAGAATTATGATGATAAAGCCTTTATTGAATAAAGCAGTTATTTAGGCCTGCTCATTTTATATCAATTCTCGAATAGATATTCCGGATGTATTTCCACTTATTGATGAGAATATTTCATTTTGTGACATAGAGCATAAACTGGATGCAGAGAAGTCAGAATTGAAGAATTTAGTTGTTAGTTGTGACGTTTGCTAACTCGCTAAAGGTGCCGCACTGGAGACACCTCAAAGACACTAATGTAAACAAGCTCACGACCAAAGTTCAAGATATAATACTAGCGGCTACAGTTCATACATTCCATTTGTTCATCTTCAATCTATTTTTCACGCCTCGCCAGAGGCATCCGCACTTTCCCCTCAGCACCCCAATCCCCCACGACCACTCCACCCCATCACCACCATCATGGCACCCGTCAACGTCCCCTCCTTCGCAGCCACGCAACTGCACCTCCTAGACCAAGAACTCCAAAGCGAGCTCGCTTCCACCTCCGCGCTCCTGACCTCCACCTCGCCTTCCTCCCTCCAGCGCGCGGGCGTCGCAATCACCAACCTCGTGATCGCGTCGCAGCGCACGGGACTAGGCGGGAAGACGGTGCTGGAGCTGAGTCTGGATTCTGCGATCGGGGAGGGCGATCTGCCGGAGCATGGCGTGAGGGTGGGGGATATTGTGATGGTGGCGGGGCAGCCGGCGGGGAGCGCGAAGAAGAGGGAGGTAAAGGAGTTGGAGGAGAATGGGGGGAGGGGGGTGGTGACGAAGGTGGGGAGGGCGGTGGTGGGGGTTGCGATGGAGAGGGAGGAGGAGGAGGTGGGGGGGAGGTTGTGGATTGTTAAGTTGGCTAATGACGTTACTTATAAGCGGTATGTGGATGTGTGCGCTGGGGGCTGGGTGGATCGGGCAATAAAGGTAGGAGGAATGGATGACCAGGTGCTGACTGTTATAGGATGAATCAAACTATGGAAAAGCTGCAGAAGATTAACGAGGCATCTTATTCAGCCTTTCTGCGGGTGCTATTCGGGCTGTCATCACCTTCGCCGGTACACGAGAGCCCAAAGGAGGCCGAAAAGATCGAGTGGATAGACACAAGTCTAAATGACTCGCAGAAAGATGCCATCAAATTTGCGTTGGCGTCACGGGAAGTAGCATTGATCCATGGACCTCCAGGGGTATTACTATCCTCCACTCATCCAGCCGCCCACACGACTAACCTCAACTAGACTGGCAAAACTCACACTCTGATCGAGCTCATCCTGCAACTTGTCAAACTGAAGCTACGCGTCCTCGTCTGCGGCCCGAGCAATATCTCAGTAGACAACATCGTGGAGCGCCTCTCGCCGCACAAGCTACCCATTCTGCGCCTCGGACACCCCGCACGCCTCCTCCCCTCAGTCCTGAACCACTCGCTTGATATACTAACGCAAACCTCTGACGCTGCAGCCATTGTGCGCGACGTGCGCAAGGAGATGGACAGCAAACAGGCCTCGCTTCGCAAGACGAAGTCGGGACGGGAGCGCAGGGGGATATATGGGGAGCTACGGGAGCTGCGGAAGGAGTTTCGCGAGAGGGAGAAGAAGTGTGTCGCCAATCTAGTAATGGGGAGTAAGGTTGTGCTTGCTACGCTTCACGGAGCCGGTGGATTCCAACTTAGGGGCGAGCAGTTCGATGTTGTGCTCATCGATGAGGCAAGTCAGGCGCTAGAGGCACAGTGTTGGGTTCCTCTATTGCAGGCGGATAAGGTGGTTTTGGCGGGTGATCATTTACAGTTACCGCCAACGATTAAGAGCTTAAATTCGAAGGTTAAGAGTAAGGTAACTAAGAAAGGAGATGGGGGGGGAGAAGCTGAGGAAGTGATTATCAAAGGGATGACACTGGAGACTACGCTATTTGATAGACTATTGGCCATGCATGGAGAAGGCATTAAGAGGATGTTAACCACGCAGTACCGGATGCACGAGACGATCATGAGATTTCCAAGCGACGAGCTGTACGAGGGGAAGCTGATAGCTGCTGAGGCAGTTAAGGCGAGGCTTTTAACGGACCTGCCGTATGAGGTTCAAGACACAGAAGATACGAGGGAGCCTCTTGTCTTCTGGGACACGCAAGGAGGCGACTTTCCAGAGGCAAGCGAGGAAGAGGGAGTCAGTAAGAAGGCGGGAAAGGGCCTGATGGGCGAGAGCAAGAGCAATGAGATGGAAGCCGTGCTGGTAAAGTTGCACGTGAAGAACCTTGTCAAGGCAGGTGTCAAGCCAGAGGATATCGCCGTTGTCACGCCCTACAATGCGCAGCTAGCGCTGATGTCAGGTCCGCTGAAAGAGGAATTCCCTGGCATCGAATTAGGCAGTGTGGACGGCTTCCAGGGGCGAGAAAAGGAGGCTATCATCGTGAGCTTGGTGCGTAGCAATGGCGATGGCGAGGTGGGTTTCCTGGGCGAGAAGCGCCGTCTAAACGTTGCTATGACGAGGCCCAGGCGTCACCTGTGTGTCATCGGTGATGCGGAAACAGTAGCAAAGTTAGTACTCCGTGATGTTCGGATGCAGAAGAGCCACGTTTGAAGAATGGATGATGTGCTGACTTTTGGGTAGGGGAAGCGGGTTCCTGAAACGCTGGATGGCCTTCTTGGAGGAGGTCTCCGATCTCAGATATCCCGATTTGGCCATGCTTAGTAACCCTTGATGCTACACGTCGCATGGCATCAAGGTGGAGATGTGATGAACGAGATAAACCTGGACTGAGGCCTAGATGCACGTTGTTCCGCGATTATGGCTTAACTGGACGTCTAGGGACGGCTTCCGCAACTGTAGCGGGCGCGGGGCCGAGCCTCCGCTATTTGGATGCGTGGCGGTGAGACACTCCAGGGTCTAAGACCGGATGAACGGTGCAGTAGAGTATCCGTCTTGGGCATTTCATATCACTGTAGCGTGAAGATCACCTCTCATGCACACGCACGGGCGTGTTGGCAGTGCACTATTAGGCGGCTGATGGCAAAGAAAGACCACAGGGATGGCCAGAACCGTTGTGGCTTGGGATGAAGTCGCCAGAGAGGCATAAATGCGGCCAATGATACTCTAAAAGTGAGATATATATTTGATGCCTGGGCTGGAAGGGTTTGTGACGAATCCCCAAGTGTCCAGTTACAATACTGAGTTGAGAAATAGCGATTTGGCTTGCTGAAGTTGCCAATATTCCCAGGTTCTCCTCACCTTGAGCTACTATCCGAACCACGCAGGTACCATTTTCCAGGACACACTTGCATTCGCCTGTGTTGCAGGATATATGACCAGTGACATGCCCGTGAATGCATAGAGTTGACTTATTTCCCTTGATGAATGACGGGGTCGCAACCGCTGTGCTGATAATGCTTTCAGTTGTGGGTGTGCTGGCCGAACATAGTGCAAGAGACGAACATGACTCGAAAATACACTCATTGATTTAACTCGTGGCGATTCTGCCCGCTCTTCTTCTTCATTCCATTCTCCCTTTTTAAGCAACAATTCCCGGTAGGTTTGCTAGACGCGGCCGTCCTTGAGCGCCAGCACGAGCTATAACGATGAGCAAACTATGGGGTGGGAACCGAAAGGGTGGTGATACGACTCAACTCAAGGTCTCTACAGTTCGAGGGAAGATATCGGCGCCGATACCTATCCGACTGATGACGATGAGCTTCCGGAAAGAATGCCTGCGGTGGGGCTGGCGATCCCCTTTGGGTACGACACAGCAGATATTACTCCAGACGACGGTCAGGGGACAATACATAGCCAGACCCAGACAAATATAACACGGTAACCGCTGCGGAGGATAAGCCCACAGCGTCTGTCGGGCGACGAGTTACGAAGGTCAACAACTGGGAGCAGATTCAGAGAGTCTGGCCTACTCAGCCCTCTGGCAAGCCCAGCGAAGAAGCTGCTCTTGGCCGTTTATTTGGCAAGAAACCAAAGGGCGACGGAGATCCATTGTCAAATGGTCAAGCAAAGGGCCGGGCAAACCATAAGCATCACAAGAGTGTACGTATTTCAGAGAGCAATGCAACTCTGGCACAGCTAACAAGAATCAGGATCCCTCGGCATTATCGAACGCGGCAGATAAGCCAATCTCACCCCAGTGATCGAACTCTCTGCCCCTCAAACAGATAAACCGCGGGTTAGCTTCACACCCGACTTTATCAAATACGACCCGCTATGGCAGGACGACCAGCCGGGAAGTTCACCTACACGGCCGCGAAGAGCCACCATCCCCAGCCGCCTTTTCAGCAACGCACCCGCTATGTATACAGAGTTCTGCGGGCTCTCACCCCGCCCAACCAGCCATGGACGCAGGGCGCCACCTCTCGAATCGGCCAGGCCATAACATCTGGCGCTCACCCAAACCGAGGCTCGAATAGTGCGGGACAACTTAAAACACTGTCGGGATTCACCCCCCTTGCCCAAAAGACGAAGTGAGGAAATTAGGCAGTGGTGAGGGAGTTTCGATGCTTCGGGGCCATTGAGCCCTTGGAGTAGCCAGAGGCCCGACACAGCTGTTACAGCACAGTCACAACCCGATCCCTCGCAGCAGGATGAAGAAGCGATGCCACGCCTGGCAATTGATGGGAGCGAGGTGAACGAGACGTCATATCTTGGACCCTGAACCATTCAATTTCGGTCCTATTGGCCCCATGGCCATGGCCGGGATGACCATCACTCAAGCTGCAAGCCCCGAGGACCGAGTGTTGTACCTCGAAGCGCAGCTGCGGAGATGGAACAGGTCATATCTAACTGGAGCCCGGGGCCTCATGCGAACGGCCAACCCACGGCCGCAGACCCACAGCACCTCCAACCACCCATCCCACCAAAACACGCAAACCGCCCCTTCTCCGCCGAATTCGGATATGGATCCGAAACTCTAGCTGGACGAGGTCCTCACAGCCGCGACGGCACGCCCAGACCCGTAACACCTACCCGGCAACCGCGCAGCCGCTCCACCACCGACATCACAGAGCCGTCCAATGGACCGGGCGACCCGTCGCCGCGGCGTCGCGAACAGATGCAAGACGGTAGCCCGACGAGCAAGGACTCGACGCCCGAGTCGAGCGGTGCACAAATCGCGACGCCGACGACGATGCGCGGACTTCCGCCCTTCTCGGTGATGCCGCTGAGAAAGCACGGCTCGCTGACTGCGCATCACTACTCTGCGCTGCTGAATTTGATACAGGTTGAGCGGAAGGCGCGGGAGGAGCTGGAGGAGAAGGTTGGGCTCGTGGAGAGGCGGTTGGGGGCTGCGATGGCGGGGTTGGGGAGGGGGGAGGAGAAGCGGAGGAGTGAGGGGTTGAGGGGGATGAAGGAGGAGATGGAGAGGAGGGCGGAGGTGGAGGTGGAGAGGACGCCGGGGAGGTCGGAGGTGGATTCGGATGTTGAGATGCAGAATGGGACGCCGAGGACGATGAGTCCGAGTCAGCCGAGGCTTGGGAAAGGACGCGCGCTTCAGGATGTGGTGTTCTGAGCGAGGGACTTATGATTGGGATGTCTGTATTTATAATGGTGGGATGGATGGCTGGATGGATATGGCTTGGCGTTGAATCGAGGAAGGTACATTTAGCGTTGTTGTAATTTTATAGCTATTTAGCGTCGAGTGTCGAAGAATACCATTGTTTATTACTTCCAATCCAGATGTAATGTATTCAAGATGCAATTCTTAACTAAAGAGGACAGTATAGTAGGTATTACATATATTGCATCATCTAGCTATGATTATATTTCCCAAGCGCCAAACACCCTCGCCAGGTCGATTCCAACTCTAAAACAAAAGAAATCTTTAAATATTTCCCAAAACCATACCCGCCTCTAAATTCTTATGCCCATCTATTATTCTGCACTCCTGATCAAAACACCCATCATCCACAACCCTCACACCCTCTCCCGATACGGAAACTGCGCCGTCCGCGGCACATCGCTCATCCTGTCATCGTGCCTGTCATACACGCTATCACTCCTCGTCGTCCGAGGCACATCACTCACTGCATCATAACTCACATCATACACGCCCCCACTCCTCGCCGTCAACGGCACATCACTCGTCCTCTCACCCCTGCCATACTCGCCATCACTTTTGGACTCCCCATTCCCTCTTCGGCGTATCATAATCGGGCTGCACACGCGTACGCTTGCCACGTCCACAGCACCACCACCTCCTCGCCCCCTTCGTAACAATCGGCTTCGCGAACTCGGAGCCGGGGCCGCGCAGGTAGCAACCGGGGTGGATGGCGGCGAGAGAGAAGAGGGCGAGGAACATAGGTGTTGCTTCGAGGCCGTAGAAGTAGGATTCGTGTGTTGGGATGGGGCCGTAGAGGCCGGAGGAGAACTCGACAAGGCGGAAGATGATGTGGATCTAGGCGGTAGGGGTTAGTTGATTTGGTTGGGCGAGAGGAAGGGGGACGTATGGAGATGAGGATCAGGGCCAGCGGGTGGCGTGGGTCCTGCCTTCGCGGGGGCGCGGACGTGGAAGGTGATCCTTAGGACTCACCGTTATGGAGGCCATGGCTCTTCGGTGAAAGCCACATCTCCCCCACTATGTCATGGTCCTCGTCGTCACCAACGGGCTTGGAACCATGAAGCTTTGAAGCATGCTACCCAATGCAGGACTGGCGCAATTAGCCTGTCTCCAGAGTATAATTTAGCTCAGTCCAGTCCTGGGGTTATCGTTGATTGGTTGTCTCGGGTAATCTATTTTTAAAAAATTATGATTGGCTAACTGACAACGTCCTATATTAATTAGTGGGTCCCTTTACGTAGCAACCATTGGTTAAATTGTAAATAAGTGTGTCCACTAGTATCGGAAGTGGTTTAGTTGCCTCTAATGTCAGCGACCCCTTGTATCCAACGAGGCTGACGGCGACGATCCAATATGACAGCTTCACACTGTGTGGCGGTTCAGGTGTACGAGTACAGTACTTTTCATATCCTACATGGAAAATTCCGTCCGAAGTAATGCGGCGTTTGATATTTGTTGTGGCAGCCCAAGTTTATCACGACTGCCGAGCCAGAGATGATCGGCGGAACACGCATACCAATTAGTTACATTTCTTCGAACTGCCCAACCAACTCTGAGAGTCAGGAGCTGACAAGCCTCGAGGCATAGGTCAACCAAGCTTCACCGCCGATAACTCAAGTCAACCATAATACACGAATAAATCCACAGTTCTTCACAAGGACAATCTTCCTGGTGATATCCTTGGTTTTTGTGGAAGGTGTGGTCTTGCCATAGGATCCTGCCATTCGGGGGCTAAAACCACAAGTATCCCAGTCTTCACCATAGAACTGGGTGTTTTGGGTGCATGCGAGCAACGCCGCCCGATTTAAGTAGGTCTGTTCGAATATTGCCGCCAAGGTCGAGCTCCTCGGTGCAAGCGATCCAAAGGCTGACCTTTGTAGGCAAAAACTCAAATGCCGAATAATCATGAACTCCATGTCTGGCATTGCGTCAAGCGACTAGTTTGAGGGCCCACCCGAGCGAACCGCTAGCCTTGTCCATTATACAAGGGTATAAGTGGCACACTCTTATAAACGAGTATACTCTTTCCGCGGGTTGCTTGTTTAGATGCAGGGTTCAAAAAGGATCAGATGCAAGGAATAAGTGGTCAGGAAGGCTCGGGGTAATTCTAATACGGCATGCTGTGCATTAGAAAGGCGGCATAGGCCCCTCTCTTAGCTAAAGCAAATGATTCGATAGCAGTTATAGGTATGAATGAGGCTGAAGCGGACCCCTCTCTTCCAGTTTAGCGGTAGATAAGAGTCCAACAGCAACAAGCAGTAACATAAAACCCCGCTCTTACCCCGTGCCTTCGGCCAGCTCTTTCCCAAACGTATCTAATCGACAGCATCATCGAGCTGAAGACCATACGCTACTCAACCGAACCACCAACTGGATATATTTGTAGTTGGCAACTTTACGCTACCATGTGGTGTGAGAACTGTGGCAAACAACGGTCGCACTACCACCAAATAGGAACGGCCAACGCCAAATACTGTCAACGATGCCGACAGAGAGGAACGAAGGCAGATACATACTGCCGGTACTGCAGCAAACCAAAAAGACAGGCAAACTCTGTATGCGACGTTCATGGCGTAAACATGAGTGACGGTACCTTACCCCGCCTCCCTTTGCTGTAGTTATCGGACCTAACCTCGATGCACGACAGATGGGACCGCCAGTAGAAGCCCGAGTCCCCCTACCAGGAGCCCAAGCCCTCCAACAAGAAGTCCCAGTAGAAGCCCGAGTCCCCCTACCAGGAGCCCAAGCCCTCCAACAAGAAGTCCCAGCTTCTCCACAAGAAGTCCAAGCAATGCAGGCTCAAGGGATAGCGAGAGCGAGATAAATCGAACGTGCCATTTCTGCAACCTGATTTTCAGCGATCGAAACGGCAAGGAGGCTCACAATACTTATTACACTTCGGGGTGCGAGAAGCATGCAACGTGTTTTCCGGCTAAGGATAATTACAGTCATGCGAGGCAGAAGTACCATACTCAGTGCTTCGTGCCGGGGTGCGATTCCAAGTATACGGAGCCGGATTTGGAATGGGATGATGACACGATCGAGCGGCATGTTAGGGCAAGGCATTAGAGATCTTGGGGGGTTGGAGCAGGGAAGGCTTGTGTATTTTATAGCTAGGTAATGACTTTGTTGTTATTTAGGGTTTGGTTATCATACCTAACAGAGCCACCTATGATTGATTCCATCTGTAGACGGCAGTATGCATATCATTTATCAGTCCTCTACGCTAGTATAACTTTCTCTATAGGCAACTGATCTTCAATAACATAAGGACCCATATAATCCTCTACAACCCTTTGGGTAGAATGTTAGTGGATTTTCAATAACATAGATGCCCAATCTTTCGTACATAAACGAGTTACTTTCAGGGTCCTCTAGCTGCCTTAGAAGCAAGCCTTCTTCCGAGGTGAGGTCTAGCTGTTGTATAATCGATATCGAAGAGTCCTGTTGCGGCGATCTGGGGCCAGTCCAAGCTCGGGTCTTGGAGCCTTCTGATTAAGGCCACTGCTTCCAATCGGAAAGTGTGCTGGTCCATGGACTCGGGTTTATATCCGACTGGAAACCCACGCCATGTGCTGCAACCAGTATGGTCCATAGTTTCGTATTTCGAGATACGCAATTTTCGGATGTAGCCCTTCACCATAAGTCGGAACGGATTGGGGAAGTTTTCAGGCTTGATCATTTCGTAGTTCCATGACTCCCTGATCATGTTTATCGGCTTCTCCGAATCATGTCAATCTGCCATAGGCCAGCCACGTACGTATCCCAACCAGGGTCAAACCTTTCGCGTAGGACCTTCTTAAATAGACGGACAAAACCGGATAAGGCCGCGTGATTGTCTCTAGGGTCATAGAAGCTGCGTGATGAGAATTCCGCTGTCATTGAATACCACCGATTTAAAAGTCCTTGAGCTGATATAGCTTTCATGGCAAGTTGTGTTCCTCCATTGGGGGTAGAGAACGGTTATGGTTGGGTGAAAATAGTAGATTGTACCAGGTATCCGCCTTTCCAACGAACATACAAGTACCGTCCTCATACTCTTCGCATTCGCGGCATCGAAAGATGAGTTGCTGTTCGCCGTAAATAACCATACGTCCCGTGTCCTAAGCGCTACCTAATGCTAATAGGCGGGGTTTTCCGATGTCGATACTTATTTTATAGCGCGCTAGTCTTGGCATAAAAGCTTCCTGATAGCACCAGCCACGATTAGTTGTAGGGCCGATCTCTAGATTTCGTGCAAGGACGAGCTAGCAATTGGTTGGGCTAGAGTTCTCACTGCATCGATATGGGAGCTGGATATATGAATTGGCGAGTATGTATTCGGATTTGAAGAATCCCTTTTCCGCGTCGTTGCTCCTTCCAGCCACGATGGTGAGATCAGCGTTGTTATATATCTCAGGCACTTCCGATGCCTGCGCTGCCCAGTCTTGAATATCATCCTGCATGATGCAAAGCGCGTCGATCCAGATGAAATCATAGTCAAGACCTCGCGCTGCCCGGATTGCCTGACAATGCGTTGCGCAAAACTTGGACAGTTTGATCCCTTTTTCAAAAGCACTCTTGTTGGCGCTTCGGAGCTTGAACATCTTATCCTTAGCGTTGCCCCAGGAATAGGAGAGTGCCACGTATACAGCGACCTGATATTCAGTAGTCTCGAGGAGTCTAGGCTTCTCATCCTTAATGTAAACTATTCTCGAAGGCAAAGGTCTTTGCTGTCTACCATAGCAGCGGCAGTCAGAGTCGTTGCATCTGCCAAGCCATTTCGCCCGCGTATTTCGGATATTGCTGGTGAGTCTAAAAAATCGAGTGGTTTTAGTTAAGGAGGGATAAAGATTGAAAAGAAGCTCCACAGCTTTTGACTTACCAGAGTCCACAGCAATGCTCACCCTTCCAAGAAAATGATCTCCATTGGTTTCAGTGATTGCCGGCCCTTTCACTATAATCGTTATATCTGGAGAGTTGTAGAAAGTAATCGGTATATCTGAATAATCCGGGTCGTCTCGGGCGTACCGATTGAGATGAACGAATAGCGTGGCCCCAAGTAGTTTAGGATCTGTTTTCCATTTTTGGAGATAGTACTGGAGTCTAGGTGCAGGGCATTGCTCTTTGATACTAGCCCATATCAAACAACAGGCTGGACATGGGAAGAGGAGGCGATTAGTGCAGGATTTCAGTACTTCCAGACTATCACGATGTTGCGATTGGAAATTTTTGTGGATCTCAGGGAGTGGTCGAGTGTACTGTGGGGTATTAACTGGATGCTAATGGCGAAGAAGGCAGAGAACTATATACCATACTGCCTTGCATGAATAGTGATGCGATCGATATGTTGTTTGGCGGCTACAGCTTAGATTATGGCCAGTAGCTATTGACCACACCTCCCATCCTTCGCTCCCTCAGCTCCATGCGGCCAAGGTGGTCTCTCCCCATTTCCTCCTTTGATAAGCGCTGACATTGTCTCAGCCTCATAGTTATAAATATGCAGCCTAGCGCCTAGCAACGAAACTTCAGACAATGTCAGCTCTACGAAATACATGTGTAGTAGTTAAGCACGGCCACATTGTCAGCCAGAAAGTCAACCTCGTGCAGTATGAACCACAACTAAAAGTCGGCCCATGAGCGATAAATATCCAGTTTCTTCGATGTCCTTATGGTAACCTTACTGACGTAGAATACAATCCGCCGTTTAGTACTGCGTGTCGCTGGACACAGACATGGCCGAGATATTAGCCACCATCGATGGTGTCGCAGCAGTTCTCCAGCTTGCTGAAACCCCTGCTAAAGCTCTAATAAAGACCATCCGCATCGTTAAAGAACTTCGCGAAGTCCCTAAAAAGCTTGCAAAGCTCCTCGGCGAGATTGAGACATCTACGTCCAATGTGGAGTATCTTTGTGATAGCCTGTTCCAGCATGATTCCAAATTCTACCAACAGATTAGTTCTCTGTCACTCGGACGGGCTCATAAACAGCTTGACCACCCTACACGAAGCGACTTTGGAGATTAAGGGGTTCCCCCTTCCGATGGCCGAGTTTGGCCAAATCAAGGTTACAAAAGGAATGTCGATGAGCCCGGATGTGGAAATCAGTGGATCAATGAAAATGGAGAAGGAGTTGTCAGAGAAGCTAGAGAGGCTAGACAGACTCAACGGGGAGGTGATGCGTGGCTTTCAGTGGTGGGGTTACAAGTCCAAGTAGCAACACATACAGTTGCGGCTACGAACAGTAGCATCTCTATTCAAGGGTTTGCTGATCTAGCAGCGCAGCTGACTGTACTATCAGTTGGTGTCAAGACTCTCAGTCTAGCAGTTACACAATCACAATCCGTCCACACAGTTGGTGGTTATAGAAACGATTTTAGGCAGAGCTCCGTGGCCACGCTTGGGGGGACGACTTTGAGTGATGGCGAAACTTGGTCGGACACGTCTTCTGAGACTGCTTGTGAGACACCATCAGAGACTTCATCTAAGACGTCATCCGATACGGGCTCGTGGCTAACGATGGCATCTGAGAGCTCCGGATCAGTTCGCTGATACAAAGAACAAAGCAGGCTTTGCCTACAGCGTGGGCTAAACCCGAGCCCCAAACCAGCCCCGCGGGGTGGCCCTCCCAACGCACACCTGGACCTTGCACTTTTCAGCATGCGCACGTTCTACACCAAGGGAAACTTCGACATAATACCAGAGGTACGGAAGCCGCGTTTTTGGAAGGACTGCAGCAACAGCATCTACTTCTTTAAGATTTCCGATTTACCAAAGGCTCGCAAGTTACTTCAGGTATCGACAGCGGAAAATTCTGACGACATATTCACAAAAGGATTGGCCACCGCGTTGATTGAGATTCTGAGCGTATTATCACCAGTCAATACTGCTACCAACCCTGATGTCCGCAAAACTTTGCTCCGATATCTACATGCATTAGCAATGCAGCAGTTGCCTCGGCAGAGCCCTGTAATGGTTATCCTTTCTACGCTACATAATGGGATACTGGTCGCTAAGGGCTCTTACGCCTTACTACGCCGCAATCGGTCAGGATGAGGCATTGAGTGCCTGCAATAAAGCTTTGGTAGATATCGCTTCAGGAGCGGAAGATATCTCGGTTACTAGAGCACATTTACATGGACCAGGTGGATTGGCCGTCAACAGCTTCCTAGTCCAAAGCCCCCCTATCAGCGCCAGCGATACACCTCTCACTCTCGTCCTCAATACACCTCTCTGCATCCTCCGCCTCGACTGGAAGTCTAGACTTGAACAGGTGAATCTCCGCCATCGAGTGCATTCCAGTCTGTCTCACCACTTTGGCAGGCCGGCCAGTATCAAATATCATCAGTGGGAAAGACAGCACTGAGGCAGCCATACTCGGTTGTCGGAATCCAAAGTACCACAACAGGCTAGGTATGTAAGATGGCGGTATTGTTTTGATGGTTTTTAGATTCCCTATAATGCGTCAGCTATCTCTGCCTTCACAGCCTCCCCAAAGAGCATATCCGGGAAGGTTGCATCAGACGCCATCTGTGATGGTGTATTATGAGAGACGGTAGAGAGATGGTATCCTCGTATACCATCTCTCGACCGTCTCTCATAATACACCAGGCGTCACTCCACTCGTATCGTTTGTTTTCTCTCTGTCGCTCCTTCTCACTGAGAACTCTGTACCAAGTTCGCTGACGAGTGTGTAGCACGGAGAGCTTCGGGTCGGCTTACCTCCATGCAAATATAACCTCACAGCCCATCCCAAATCTGTTTTGATTTTCGCCTCTCATATAGGGTTCCTACATACGTTAACTACCGTTCGTTCCAGCCCCCGGGTGTGGATGAGAAGTCCTTACCTAACTCCAAGACTCTGCCAAATCATCATCTCTGCCCACTTAAGTAGCCCTGTGCCTATTGCGCCGAGCACCTCCCCTACTATACTGGGAGATTGGACAGTTCTGGGCTCTAGTATCGGAGGAAGCGGCATCTCGAGGAAGTTGCTCTTTGGTGTGGAAGTGATAGATATCTGGTGTTCTCGACGGCTGAAGATGATGATTGTTTTGGAGCTTAGTCAGTTAAGTGATGGATATTGAACAAAACCTACGAATCTACGAGAAGCAAAATGGCATGGCATATTTCCAAATAAATGTTACCCTACGACTATGACTAACTTATGGCGGGGTTTTAGTAAAGTTTTAATATTCGCCGGCGTCAAGGCTACACGATAAGTTAGTGCTATCGCTGGTTTATCATACTATCAAAAATATCATAGTACAGGCTCCAATTGGTTACCGCGTACCTGCCCCATCCATCCATCCATCCACCACGGTTACGTTACCCCACACACACTCTCCCACACTTAAAGAGTCAGATGGCCACTTCTGAGACAGACACACCACCTCTTCTTAACATCCAACTTTGATATTTAATTACTGGCACTGGCAAGACTTCATTCTCTACTAGCAGTTCTCTAATATCGACCTAAACTCCCTAGAGCCTTCTGTGTATATTTTGGCCCTTATCAAACCGCAGCCCGCAGTACCCTACAGAAAGCAGAACATGGGATCACAAGCTTCGAGGCCGTCGCACGACGACTACACCGAAAAGCAGGCCGTTGAACGGATGCGACAGCTGGCTCTTACTGCACCAGGAAGTAAAGGCAGCTATGAGGCCGAAGGGAACGAAAAGAAGCGACCGAAATATGTCGCCGATGAGGCATCAGGCCTCTCGATCGGCGATGTTTGGAAGTGGCAGGAGAAGCTAATGGACGACCCAAAGAACCGGTACGCACGCTATAATATATGACTCTCCCTGACTACGGTGTTATAGTGCACTTTACTAACGGAGCTCTAGACTGGCACTTTCAGCACTAAGCGCCGCGGACCCCAAGACGGTGCTCCAGAACCGCAACGTCCTCACTGAAACCCAGCACATTTTCAATGTGAAGATCCCATTCGAAGGCGCGCCGATCACGAACCAAAACTCTTCGGGCCGATGCTGGATCTTCGCCGCTACAAATGTCTTCCGCGTAGCGCTGATGAAGCGCCATAACCTCGAGGCGTTCGAGCTCAGCCAGTCATACCTCTTCTTCTGGGACAAACTCGAGAAAGCCAACTGGTTCCTCGAGCAGATCCTCGATACAGCCGATGAGGATGTCGAAGGCCGCCTCGTGCAGCGCCTCTTACAGTCCCCAGTCGGCGATGGCGGACAGTGGGATATGATCGTCAACCTCGTCAACAAGTACGGACTCGTCCCCCAAGTCCTCTACCCGGACAGCTTCAACGCCTCCCACTCCGGCACCATCAACAACCTCCTCACCACCAAGCTCCGCGAAAACGCCCTAACCCTCCGCTCCCTCGCCGCCACCTCCTCCTCACTCTCTACCATCCGCTCCGCCAAAGCCGAAATGATGCGCGAAGCCCAGCTCATCCTGACCCTCACCCTCGGCCCGCCCCCCTCCCCATCCTCAGAATTCACCTGGCAATATCTAGACGCCAGCGGTGCCGCACAGACTCTCAGCACCACTCCCCTCGACTTCGCCGCTGAGCTCTCCTCCACCCCCTCCATCCGCACAATCGGAGTCGACGTCAACTCCATGTTCAGTCTCGTTAACGACCCCCGCAACGCTCCAAACACCCTCCTCACCGTCTCGCGTCTGGGTAACGTAGTCGGCGACACCTCCCGCCCAGTCACCTACGTCAACGTCGCCATGCCCACCATGAAAGCCGCCTGCATCGCCATGCTACGTGCCGACATCCCCGTCTTCTTTGGGTGCGACGTCGGGCAATCCTCGGAGCGCGCGCGCGGCGTCATGGCTACGGGACTTGTTGATTTCGAGCTGGGGTTCAATGTGAAGCTCGGCTTGACGAAACGCGATCGCATTCTGGCGGGGGAGAGCAAGATGACGCATGCGATGGTGTTGACTGCTGTGCATCTCGATGCGGAGGGGAAGAGCGTGAGGTGGCGCGTGCAGAATTCGTGGGGGGAGGGGTCGGGGGAGAAGGGGTGGTTTGTTATGAGTGATGAGTGGATGGATGAGTTTACGTATCAGGCGGTTGTGGATCCGAGGTTTGTGAGTAAGGAGGTTAGGGAGGTGTTGAAGCAGGACCCGAAGGTATTGCCGCTTTGGGACCCGATGGGGGAGTTGGCTTGAGTTGTTGGCGGTGGTAGTGTCGGATTGGGTGGTTAAGGATGACCGGATGATGGGAAGACTTATGAGATGGATATTTGTGGGTTTGGGATGTCGGGGACGGATTGGGTAGGAAGCGTAGGTATTCATATCAAGCACTATTCTAGCACCTCTGTTCTGAACCACAGCATACCAAACTACAACCCCCCTCCAAACATATAAATCGCCGTATCTCATCCTTGTCCTCCAAGGTTTCGGAGTAGATACATTGTTCCTTCTTGATGGCCGAGTGTCAGAAAGTGACCGCTCAGCCACCACTGACAGTATGTGATATACGTATGTGGCCTTAAAAAATGTAAGGGGGGACGACAGATACAGCAGTTTCGGCAGCAGAAATGGCGAGCGGCGACGGAACTATTCAATAACAAAAGTAGTGACAGCAACGCGGCGACAGTAAGAGCGTAGAGTCAGTTGCTTGGGGCCGACCTCAACAACACCGACAAACGATGCACACAACGGACGGCATTATCTACCTTCCAGATGTGTGCTCGTAAATTACCTGTGTGACTGAAGCGGCTGTGGAAGGAGCATTACAAGGGCAGATTGGCAGCGTTATATATCGACTGGAGGCATCATTCATTGAGGGCGGGGATGTTGATCACGGGGTGGGGTTGGGTGGTGCATACCAGCCCATAAAGGAGTTGAACTTCTTCGATTTGAGAAGGTCTATATGAACTTCTTACTTTACCCCCCTCGTTCTTGATCTGATAAGTTTCTCCTACATAGACCTCATATATATCAAAATAGCCCATCCCATCTCCGCCCCCTCCCGCTCTCCAGACTTCATGATTTATATTCCTGTGTAGGAAAGATGGATACAATGGTCGATGTGGTAGAGGCAGTGGTAGAGGACCTAGACGAAGATCATGTCAGGTGGAAAGAGGATGTGGGGGGGGAAATAATGCGAGGTTGTGGGCGAATGGAATGGATGGCGATGGGGTGGTTTGTCTCTGGTGAGAGGGGGCCGGTGACAGGAATCCGATGGCGGGTTCTTGGGTGGTGACAGGAGTTACAACCTCTTGGTGAAAAAGATGGCTGGGATGGAGGGTGGATGGGTTGGATCAGCGGCCAGATTTGTACGGGGCAGGCCTAGTTCAAAGCTTCGAATGTTCCCATACGGTGAGTAATTCAGCTATGAGGCTTCAATGGAGATCTATATATTCATATCTGCACTCGCTCGCATTTGGTCTAATAAGTTGCTCCCACACATAAATCTCGCCGTATGTGTCAAAATATCTCATCCCAGCCCACATTAGGACGAGACGTATTTGGTTATTTGATCTCGTAGGTGTCTCCTACATAGAACTCCATATATATCAATTATCCAACCCACCCAATTCCATGCCATCCGTCCCCCGCTATCCGCCTTTGAAACTCCAAAATTCAAACCAATCCCCAAGCCCACACCTCCCCCACTTCACCACACCCTCTTCCTCGGCCTATAAACCCTACTAAAATCTACATCCTCCCCATCCCCCTCCGTCCGTATCTGCGCCTTAATCCTCCTCCGCCTCGCTGCCCGCGATAGTTGCTCTATCGGTATACTCTCATCATCTTCCTCCTCTTCCTCTATCTCTTCGCCGCGCACCCGCGCGATCCATCGGTGAATCATCTTATTCGCTGTGCTGACGACTCCGCCGCCACGCCGTGGGGTGGTAGGTTTACCGGAGGAGGGGAGGTAGGAGGTTATGAAGGTGAGGTAGTTGGTTTGCGGGGTGGTTGTTACTTCGATAAGTTGACTTGAGTCGCGGGGAGAGATGTTAGGGAGGGGTGAAGGCGCATCGTCCGGGGAGGGGTTGTAGAAATGCGAGTCGGAGGGGGTGGAGAGCTGGGAGGGGCGGATGGCGGCGCGGAGGTTGGTGAGGGTTTTTTGTTGGAGGACATAGCCGGAGAGAAAGAGAGCGAGGGTGAAGAAGAAGACTCGGGGGTGTTAGAGGGGGGTTGAGTGTGGATGGGTGAGGACGTACTGGTAACGGCGGAGATGAAGACGGAGACTTGGGATTGGGTTAGGAGCATTGTGGGTGGTGAGCGGTGCTCAGAGTGAGGATGCGACAGTATAGTTAGTATTCAAGCAATATGTTTGTGGTTTAAAGGCGGCGCATAATTGTGTTTTGGTCCAGTCACTTCTGTTTGCCACGGGCGACGTAAATAAATGGCGTTGGTGGGGCGACTATCGATATCAGCCTTGCGGGCGTCAACTTTTGCGACAGCCTCAAGGAAACACTCCCCAACCAAACCGCCCCAATCCAACAGCTATGAGTACACTCCAGCATAGCGCCATTACAATGCCCTACGCCGATACCTCAAACTAATCCGACTCGAATTATACCACTCCAAACCCGCGACGACTCCTTACCACCAACAAATCCACGGACTACCCCATCGCCACCGTCACCACGCCCCAAACTCCTCCATCTCCTCCACACACCATAACCATGTCCGGCCACCACCGCGCCGACGAAAAGCGCTTCCTCGACGAGCGCGGCTCCTCCGCCCCCCTCGCTCCCAACGGCCTCAACCCCGCCACCATCTTCGAGAAGCCCGTGCGCGAGCGCATCATCGACTGCTACTTCTGGAAAGACCAGTGCTTCGCGCTGAACGAGGCCGACATCGTGAGTCGCGTGGTCGAGCACGTTCACTTCGTGGCCGGTACATATGGCGACTCGCAGCGGCCGTCGCCGTTTCTGTGTCTCGCGTTCAAGCTGCTGCAGCTGGGGCCGGGCGATGACATTCTGAAGGAGTACCTGGGGTATGGGGGCGAGCGGTTCAAATATTTGAGGGCGCTGGCGTGCTTTTATGTGAGGTTGACAAGGCCTGCGAAGGAGGTTTATGAGACGCTGGAGCCGTATTTGGAGGATGGGAGGAAGCTGAGGAGGAGGGGGAGGCAGGGGACAAGCTTGACGTTTGTGGATCAGTTTGTGGATGAGCTGTTGACGAAGGAGAGGATATGTGCGACGAGTCTGTGGAAGATGCCGAAGAGGGAGGTGCTGGAGGATTTGGAGGTATTGGAGCCGCGGGTTAGCGCATTGGGGGATATTGAGGCGTTGTTGGAGGAAGAGGAGGATGATGTGGTGATGTTGGAGGGCGAGAATAGGAGATCCGAGAGCGATGTTGATGAGGGTAGTGAGGAGGGGAGAGTAAAGAGTCCTGGGGAAGAGTTTGGGAGAGAGATGAGCGCTGAAAGCGACGGGAGGAGAAGGACAAGTAGGGAAGACGATGAGAGGAGTGGGAAAGGTGGTTGAGATAATTAATATGCGAATGAAACAAAATACTACAGATAATATAAATATATTTATATAATTTGTGCCTGTTTGCCAACGCGTAATTCGGAAAATGGGTTCACAAATAGTAGAGTGAAATCCTGGTTTATTTATTGTTGCTACATTATTTTATTTATTTGAGAAACAAAGAATTAAATTCACATGTCATATAATATTGACGTAGTAATACGAATTCTCAAAAACTCATTTATTGCTCTCTATGCTACATACTGTCAACTCCAGCTCGATATAATATACCCACAGCTGTACTACAAATCAAGAAGAAAGCAATGCTGTCATCTTAGATCCATGTCAACTGTTGCATCAATGCAATATCTGAACCAAGAGACCGCGAAAATATCAAATCCCCAATGCCGTAGCCAAATTTGCACAATTTCATCGCCATCGTTACATCTGGGCTTTCACTCTCATCTCCTCTATTGACACCATCGCTTACAATCTGGAGCCGTGGATGACCTTCATGTCAACGGCAAGCTCGCGACCGTGGTCGTTGAGAACGAGGACGCGGACGGAGCCACGGCCGCTCTCGAAGGCATCGTTAAGACGAACCCAGAGGTTGGACTGGTCAATAACTGGGAGAGACTGCTTGACATCACCCTGGAAATATTGTTAGTATGGTTCTACTACTGATACAAGTGGGATTACTCACGGTCTCGGTCATGGCGACGACGGTGCCATCGTTCAGGTCAAGGACTCTGTACTGCTTGAGGACAGGGCCGAGAACGGTCTGAACAACAACAGATGGGGATGGGCTGGAGATGAACGAAGAGTCCTCGTGCAGCTGCTTGGTGAAGAGATCAACACCGAGGAAGCGGTGCTGGCCAGTGGCAGGGGAGGTGGTAATCTTGATGACCTGGCTGGCACGTCCCTGGAGGATCACGATGTCGCCAATGCGGACGTGGTTGGTTGGGATAGTGATGGTGTTGGGAATGCCGCCACCCTGGAGTGACTGAGAACGGGGAGCTTGGCTGCTGCCACCGCTGGTGGTGGAGGTGATCTCTACGTCAATCTCGGGGTGGTGGTGGTGGTGGCTGCCGTTCACAATGCGGTCTGCGGCATGGTGGAGGCCGTTGCGGAAAGAGTGGTAGTGACCTTGATTGGAAGTTAGTTTTGGAGAAGTTTGAATCTGAAAGATTGCCACGTACCAGCCTCATCGTAGTAACCCATGTTGTCGTTGATGATAACCTTGGAAGGCTTAACGGAAGATTCGATGCTAACGCGCTCTTGGAAGTTAGGTTGGTAGCGGGTGCGGTATTGACGCTCGGCAATATCGATTGTCGAGTTGAGGTTGTTGTCTGAGTGGTACAGGTTCAGTGGCTGCTGGAACTGCTGCGACTGCTCTTGGTGACGATGAGGTAAGTCGACGTCAATGTGGGTGGTAGAGTGCTCCTGGATAGGTCTGGAGAGGGATTGGGTCAGCAAGGGTGTTGGATGGCATTGGTTTGGAATAGGGTTTCTGAACTAACCTGCGGAATAGGCTCGGACGGTGGTGTCGGTCCTCCTTAACGTTGATGTGGACCTTTTCCTCTGTGCGTTGCTCTTGCTCCTGAGGAGGAAGGCTGGCGGTGAAAGAAGATTGGTGACCGTCCCGTCCGGAGGAGCTCTGATTTAGAGCTGGAAGCTTGATCTCACCCTCGACGTGAGTTTCTTTAACCTTGGTAGGTGCGGCGGCGACGTTTCTGTACGTCGACGGGAAGATGCTAAAGGGGATCGGAACACGGGCGTCAAAGTCCAGATTGCCGGCTCTTTGGCGCGAGAGATCACTTCTCGAATGCCTTCCGAGTAACGAAAGGTATACAAGAAGGGGCCTCTTGCTTCACTTGGGAAGAAGGGAGGGAAGAAAGCGTCTTAATAAACGCTTCTTAACTCGTAGTCTTCTTTGAAGTGGAGAGAGGATGAGGTGGTAGTGCAGGAAGCTTGTGTAAGAATTGTTGAGGAAGATGTGTTGATGAGGAATGGAAGAGGAAGAGGAAAGATTCGTGGCAGTTTGTGGAGGTCGAGGTCAATAAATTGTATGGGGTTGTTTGTTTGGGTGTCAACAAAGCTAACGTAGGCGAGGTCTCAGACAACCACCACATTTCCCAAGTGGGATCTAGGAGATTTGCGTTGAGCTGAACGTGCGTCGCCACCCAATTACAGTTGACGTTGGAGTGGATTTACGGGATTGTCACATAATGGGCGGTTAACATTGGTTGTCGGGGAAGCCTTGGACTTTCAGGAGTTAATAGAGTACGAGTAAGAGGCCGCTGCACAGTTGGGGAAGTGCAACGCATGTGCACTGAAACCGTTGGAAAAGTCACAATTGAGAGTCATATCCTGCCTTCTCTTTCCTGCTCGCAGCCTCATTTCATGCCATGTCATGTATTACGGCGGTTGTCGGTGAGGCTCCTGCCGCCAGCACGCGTGGACAGCATCCATTGGACTCGCCGTGCTAACAAAGTAAACAACTCCTGCATATCGCAACCCCCCAACCCCGTTGTTTTCCCTCACTGCATAACAAGTGGCATGTGAAAGGATTAGCAAGAATGCAAGAACACAAACCCTGGAAATCCCCTGCATCTCGCCATTCATAGACCCTCGAGGATCCACCCGGCTTCAGACCAAAGGTACCTTGATGGCACTGTGTCCCGAGGTATGTCCAAAAAGGACGAAGTACTCGTCACCATCGTGTATCCATAGCAACGATGATGCCAAGAGCCCGGAATGCCGGAGACCGCGAGGGCCGCAGCAACGGAACACATTTGCTAAATATTATCGCGGATCGGTCTAATGTTTCTCCATGTGAGTTCGTAGTTCATTCTGGTGGGAAGCTAGTAGAGGAGCGACCGCCGTCCTCTCGAGTAGTTTTGGAGTTAAAGGAGCTAAATATTTCTATTTTTCTATTTTAGCTTCCCCTTTTTTTTTGGCTTCGAGCCTAGAGTACTTAGTGTTCCGGGGAAGACGACGGGCTCAAACACACTCAAAGTTCCCCTTGCATCGTATCGTAAGGGGTTTTTGGTATGACCGGAGACCTGAACTAGCTGGTCTAAATGGAAGTAAGGTAGTGGTAGTTTATTCATGGTTTGTGATTCATATCTGTCGTCGTCGCTCTCTCTCTTCTTTTCTCTTTTGATTTTCCCATACCGATGCCAAAGCCTTTGCGAGACCGGTTCACTCTCATCAAGCAAAAGAGACAAAGTTGCCTTGCGCCAAGTCAGCATATATAGTCTTATTACAAGATATTCGGTGGAATTTAACTGCTGCTTGTGGCCTCGACGTAAGTGCTCTCGCCTAAAATATATTGGAAGCGCTGGGAGTTGACTTCCATAGGATGTTTTGCCTCTCCTTTTCACAAAGCCTCCTGGCCGCTGGGGTCATATTTTGGCTCGTCTGCCTGAGTGCAGATGTCATCAGCGGCCTTCAAAAATCTCCCGCCGTAGATCCCACCGCGGCATTGTGCTTCTTCGGCGCAGTTGCAGCAGCATTCCTTGCTGGGACGGTGTACGGTCGTGAAGCAGAGTCTGAGAAGGCTCAACGCGAGAAGCAACTCCAGGAAGATCTCGTGACGCAGCCACTTCTGGACTCTAAAAAGGGCGAAAGGGACTCATTTCATGGGGTGTTCTGTTAATGTGGAGTACTATAATATGTCACGGCGAACACGGTGTCTGGATTTGGCTACTTTGCGGATGGTTCTTGTTCTTGTTCACGTTCATGTATTGGGTAAAGTGTGTATCATAACTTATTTTCAACTGTATATATAAGCTCCATTGAATACCTTTCAGTGATTGGTTAATTCGGGGTCAGTGACTGAGAACAATAGCTATTGTGCTCCTATTGTGGTGTCTATTGATGCCCATTGTAACTTTCCCTACTGTCGGTCACAATAGGAGTCGGAAGTAATGATGGAAACTGAGGCACAGCCCTTCAATTTTTGACTTGCTTAATTTCACCCTCACACTTTCAACTAAATTTATCGACTTCTTCATCAACCCCTTTATCAACTTTCTCATCAATTTCTTCCATCAACTACTTCGTCAACCTCTTCGTCAACATCTTCGTCAATTTCTTCATCAACTTCTTCATCAACTTCATCAACTTCTTCATTAACCTCTCCATTAACTTCTTCATCAACATCACGAACACCAGCACCAACATCGACGTCAGCACTATCAATCGACCCAGAGCCATCATCATTGGCACCGTCACCATCACGCCCATACCCAGCAACAACAACCATGGAGCAAAGTGCGTCCACCAAGAATCAGCACGCCTCTCTGTAATTCACCCTTTCTAATCCTGGGAATCTTACTAACGGTCTCCAGATCGGCGCAGCTCGATAAGGGAGAATATGACTATTCGAATATCGATCCCGAACTCCTCGCTATGTCGGCGCAGCCCGATAATGGAGAATATGGCTACTCGAATATCGATCCTGAAGTCCTCGCCAATATGGGAGAATATGACTATTCGAATGTCGATCCTGAAATCCTCGCTATGTTTGCGGAGCCCGATAAAGGACTAGAGGACGACTCGAATATCGATCCTGAAATCCTCGCCATGCTTGAGGAGGCCAACCAAGCCTTCAAGGAGGGCCTGGAGGAACAGGAAGCCTGTAACCGAGAGGATGAACTGGACTACGACGCGTTGGAGCGGGAGTTTGAGCTGGCCTTCGCAACCCTGGATGAAGAAGAGCCCGGTTGGGACGACCCGGTTTGGTCGGATCGTTCCGGAGCGAATTCTCAGGCATCTGTCCGCAGTTATGGGTTTGGACCCCTCCCGGACGAGTACCGGTATAACGACGACGACGCTCGATCTGTAGGATCTGACAGCTCGTTGTTCCGCGAGAAGATCCCTCCGGTCGGCAGTCGTCCAATCCTGAAACCGAAGTCTCGCGTCAGGGCTACGCCGGCGGAGAAGGCCGCCTCTGCAATGATGCCATTTACTGTCAGCAACCCGGCAGACATCCCAGCCATCTCCTTCCCATCCAACCCCTATTGGGGTGGAGCTCCAATTCCCTCGTCTGGCCAACAGACTCTAACGTTCATGGGCGTGACAACTTCAGTTCCAGTGCTTTCAGATACCGCCAATATGGAGCTAGTCAACAACACTGTGGGTGTGACCGATACGGTTCAGGAGTGCTCAAATGAAAAAGATCGGGCTCTAGTGGGGTTGGCAATGCAAGAGCTCAATACCGCCACACATAAGCTGAACACCGCTGGCCTGCACAGAGCTGCTCTGGAGGCCGATATCAGAAGATTGGAAGAGGCCCGCAAGGAATCGGATCTGAAGATTGCAGATTTGGAAACACGGCTTTTAGAGAAGCTGGACTCGGTTACCGGCGCTCACATGGCCGCGACGAAAGAATTACAAATCTGCCGCAGTGCACTCGCCGCATCGCAGCAGTCTTGCAACGCCATGAACAAAGAGAACGGCGAACTCAAGCACCATGTCTCCGAGATGGCTAATGCAACAGGCCTAGACAAAGAGAGTAACGACATTCGCTACCAAGTCTCCGAACTCTCGAATAACGTCGCCTTTGTCAACGGAGAGCTGGACACCCGCACCCGGGAGCGAGATTTTGCAGTACAAAAGCTCGGGGAGGCCCAGTTTCACATCGATGAAGCCATTGCTGCCAACAACTACCATCGCCAACAGATCGCAATTATGGAGAGCAACGCTGCAGCCAAGGAGGTTGAGGTCACGACCCTTATGACAGCCTTGACAAAGTCAGAAACCGAGAAGCAGGATTTGGAACACAAATCCCAAGAAAAAGAGGAAAATGCGGCGGCCAAGGAGGTCGAAGTCAAGAACCTCATGACAGCCTTGACGAAGGCAGAAACCGAAAAGCAGGATTTGGAGCGTAAGGCCCAAGAAAAAGAGGACAATGCCAAAAGCAAAGACGACAAGAACTTAATCAAACCGAAGGAGGAAAAAGCCAAACTGTCCAAGACTGAGCAGTATTGGAAGGACCAGTATGATGCAGAAGCTAAGCATACGACTGTAGTGGAGAGGAATGCTCAGGCCTACGAGCAAGACTATTTCGATATAAAAGGGCAATACAAAATCGCTGATATCAAAGTCTCCCAACTCACAGATACGGTTGCCGAAATGAAGGCCGTGGCACAACAAAAGGAATACGAGATCTCTGAGCTCACACATAAAGTCACGAAACTCAGCAATGACCTCGGAGAGTTGGAATCATCCACGAAGACTGAAAGCGCCAGCCATCACGCCGAAGTCGAAAAGTTGAAAAAAGACATTGGGATTGCCAACCACGAGAAGAACTACATCGATGGACTGCTTAATGAAGCCAATGATGAATGCACCTCCCTCAACAGACTCAATATCCGGAACAAGAAAAAAATCAATGAGCTGGATGAGGCATTGAGAAAGGAGACAGCCACGACCGCCAGGTTGCAGGAACAGGTGAAAAACGAACGCAACAGCTCCGGCGATGCGTTGCATGTTTCACGTATCGCAACTCTTCACAGGGCTCAACGCACTCATGGATTCCCGCGTCCTCCGCGCGATGATAGACGCTTGATCCCAACACTGGATGAACAGTTGGCTGCCTGGAAGTCGGACGATAGAGACTCCGAGAAGTTTATGGAAGATCATCGTCGTGCGCTCAAGGAAAAGCCTATGACGCCCCTGAGACCAATCACCAAACTCAAAGACTCTTCCACCGATACAGTTGGACCATCCGAGTCTCACGAGAATGCTTCCAGCGTATCCAAAGGATCTTCCACTGCTGGAGTTGGTCTTCATGAAGAGACTGCCAGCAACTTCGACGACTCTTCCGTTACTGCCGTTGAGCCGTCCGTGTCTAGCGATGAGACTGACAGCGAACTCGAAGATTCTTCCGACACTGAAACTGAATCATATATCAACAAATCCAAGAAATTGTCGTCTATCCTTGGTCGCCGACCAAAGAAAGATGTCAAATATGTCGAACAACTTGTCTATGTCGACAAAGAGGTCATCGTCGACAAGATTATTGAACACACCGTTCACCAAGCTCGTAGCCCTATCTGGGCCCTTTTATTTGTCTATGTCGACCTGTGGACCATTTTCGCTCACTCCCACCCCAATTTCGCGGCATCCATCGGACGCCTCAATCCTGTCAACATCGTTGGTTACCGTTTCTCTGTTTTCGTGCGCTCCTTCCCCAATTTTGTGGCATTGATCCGACGCCTTAATCCTATCAAAATCGATGGCTACCTTTTCTCCGTCTGCACGCACTACTTCCCAAAGTGTGCGGCATTCATCCGACGCCTCAATCCTATCAACATCGCTGGCCGCCTTTCGTCTGGTATCCCCTTCAACATCAGTCGCCTCACCCGCATCAACATGAAATCCTCCAAACCTGCCGCCACCAGACCCACGGAGATCGACATCGAATCCCAAACCAAGGAGGCCACTGCCATAGATCTCGAATCCCAAGCCGAGGACCTCATCGAGCCCGACACCCGCCCCAAGGTCGTCCACAGGCTCCCATCACTCTGGCCGAACCTCCTCACGGCCATCCTACAGCTCCTCACGATCTACATTCTCTACCAAAGCTACAGCGTCTTCGACCAGCGCCGCATCTGGCTCTCGGGCAACGAAATTACTCGCAGCACCGTTGCGCGATTCTGGGGCCGTGAGCCTGGGTTCTTTGGCGTTTCTGTTGGGCGCAGTAATTGGTACATACATAAGCTTTGTTTCTGGATTATTCAGGGCACGGGGTACTCTTACGCACTTCCGGGATAAAGAGATGGGATGAGCGGATGCGTGGGGTTGTTTTTCTTTGTTTTGTGGCACGCACTGGGAATGGGATTGCTGGGATAGATTGTCTCGTAGGATTTTCCTGAATATTGTGCATGTTGTTACATGAATTCAAATGAAAGGGTTATTACATTGACTGCTACTGGTGATCTGTGAAATTGACATGCGCTGCTGGTGATATACTCTTATGAACAAAGTCATTGTTGATCTGTGCCCTTGACAAATTCCACTGCTGAATCGCTCTAATGTCACAGATAACATGCGGTCGGCCTTGTTACAAATAGTTCGTGAAATACCTACCTGCCTAGCCCTTGGTCTATATGGATTGTATGAGGGGAGAGAGCATGAAGCATGAAAGCTCGACTGCGCCCACAACAAGCACAATGATTTGAGTTTATCATCGTATCGTGATATCGCATTCCGAGAAAACGGTCTAGACGCCCGTCCTTACAAATAATCCAGTGGGTATGCCAGCATGAAGGCAAAAATGTGGCTGCGGTTGTAGGGATAGTATTTGCATTTCATGATCTGGGGTTATGGGAAGAGATCTATAATACGAAAATATCTCGATAGGCGATCGGTTGCGTCATTGGCTCTATCGCTATCGATGTGAGGCCATAAAATTGTCAGGGTCTCAGATCGTGAAATCTATATAATATAATCTGTATCCCTCGAGCTTCAGAGAACCTAATCGACCAACAAGTAAGTTACGACCTCGAATAGCAACAGAGACAAAACTACCACTTCCACACCCATCGACATCAACACATCACTGAGCTCAACGATAAACACCGTCGTCGCCATGGCGCCCAAGCTCGTCCCCAGCAACCCCTCGGCGGTAATGGTCATCCGCGACATCACCCCCAACATCACCACCCTCTCCGTCCCCTTCGCGCGCTTCGGTCTCTTCCGCGTCGGCGGCCGCGGCACAGTCGGTATATCTTCCCTCCCCCCCCTACCTCTTACCCAACCAGCTAACCCCCTATCCCAGTCCGCCTCACCTCCGGCGCCCTCTCCGTCTTCTCCCCCATAGCCCTCACCCCCGAAGTGCGCGCCAAGCTCCAAGAAAAAGGAGACAACCTCAAATACATCATCGCCCCCGACATCGAGCACCACATCTTCGTCAGCGAATGGGCGCGCGCCTACCCCTCCGCGCAAGTAATCGGCGTCGAAGGGCTGGCCGAGAAGCGCGCCGCTGCCGCTAAAGACCCCAAGAGTCCCAGCCACGGCGCGCAGGTCCCGTTCGCGACGGTGTTTACCGAGAAGCTGAAGGGGCAGGTGAGGGTGTCGGAGGAGTTTGATCGGGACTTCGAGTACGAGTATGTGCCGGAGCATATGAATAAAGAGCTGGTGTTCTGCTATAAGCCTGATCGTACGTTGATCGTGGCGGATTACTTGTTTAATTTACCTGCGACAGAGCAGTATTCGCGGACGGGGGAGCCGGCGGATAATGGGATCATGACAAGGTTGTTTGGGGCGTTGACGGGGACGCAGGGGAAGGCGTTGGGGCAGAAGAGATTCTTGTGGCATGCGGCGAGTGCGGCGAATCGGGAGGGGTTTGGGGAGAGCGCGAGGAGGATTGGGGGGTGGGATTTTGAGAGGATCATTCCGTGTCATGGGGATGTGGTGGAGGTGGGGGGGAAGGAGGTGTTTAGGAAGATGTATGGGTGGCATTTGGAGGGGGGGAGGAAGTAGAGTGGGGGTTGCGGGGGGTGGGTTGGAGTCTGGGGCTTGTGTGTATATTATTATGAGGCTGTACTTGTTGATTATGAGCTGTTGATCATGAACTGTTAATCATGAACTCTTTGGTTTTTAAGGAAATGGCTCAAGTGGGCCTTCTGGTTGTCTTCTAGTTTAATATGCATATGCTTCTAGCTCCTGACCACCCGCAAGGCTACAGTAGTTGAGAAATGTCGTTATCATATTGGGCGTATATAGGATTCCCGCCCCATATACGCCCAATATGATAACGACATTTCTCAACTCCCACAGAAAAGCCCCAATATTAATGAACCGTGACCCATCGAAGTATTTCGCGGCTATTCAGAGCATTTCCCAAGTTATGATTGGCGAGGGCCGAATTCCCCCCGCACCCCAAACCAGTGCGTTGCTGCGCTGGACAAGGCTGGGCGGCTGGGCAGCACCGCACCACTCCCATCGGACGATCCAATCCTTGCAATAAGCGTCCGCTGTCATGACGCCGAGTTAAGTATTCACCTCTCTCCTTCAACTGTCGTGTGAGCTCTCTCATTTCTCTCTTATTTCTCATCTCTTACATAAAGGTCATCGTCCCGCAGCCTTCCTCCTCCGATACCACCACAATAGAGTGAGTTTGACGTCACCACCGCACCTCTCACGAAACGCAGCCCCCAAGACCCCGCAAACACATCGATGCCCACATCGATGCCTACAACCATCTACCTTCCAAACTATCACATCACCACTATCTAGCCAAAATGTCGACACCAACCGCCCTCATCCCTCCCCCCGCCTACACCCCACGCGCCCCCTCCCCACCAGCCCCAGACATCGAAACAGCATCCATCCTCTCCGCCGCGCCCTCCTACTTCTCCTCCGCCCCCTCCTACTTCTCCTCCGCCCCTTCCTACTCCACCCTCCCCCGCCCACCCCCCAGCACCTCCCGCAGCCCCTCCCTAGCAGACTACTACCCCACCTCATGGTCCCGCAACGCCACTCCCTCCTCGCGACACTACGACGCCGTCGCGGCGCGGCGCGCGGAAGCAGCCTCGGCGCGCGATACGGCGGATCTGTTGGAGGTGGCGAGCGTGACAAGGGATCCGGTCAGGGCGGCGCTGAGGGTGGTGAAGGAGAGGGAGAGGGAGGAGTTTGGGGAGGGGGAGGGGGAGGGGAGGAGGGTGAGGCCGCTGGAGGATGGGGAGTTGGTGGGGGAGGAGGCGGCGAGGGAGGCGAGGAGGGAGAGGTTGAGGTGGGAGGGGGTGGAGGTGTTGGTTAGGGAGGATAGGAGGTGGGATTGGTTGCTTGGTGAGATATTCTTTTCCTTTTTCTTTTTCCTTTCCTTTTTCTTGTTCTTTTCCTTTTCTTGAGGAGATGCGCGGGCGGGTGTGGGAGTGATGGGTGGGGGGGATAATGGACAGATGCTAATTGTGAATAGCTCAGATGAACGATTGGGAGGAGAGGGAGAGGAGCTGGAAGAAGTTTCGGGAGAAGAAGCAGAGGACGAGGACGGAGAGTTTGGCCAGCAAGCTGGGGTTTGGGACAGCTATGTGGATGGGGAGGTAGGGCGCCGGCGCCGGCGCCGGAGCCGACGAGATATGGTTTATGGATATGAGGCGTTTTTGGGTTTGGGGTCTGGATTGGGGACAATGGGCGGATTGGGAGTAATGATCAGATTGGTATACAATGCGGGATTTGGGATGAGTCCATACGGACTGTGTGCGGACTGTACGATGGCGTCGGGGTTTGCTACGAAGGCTGCAACGGGAGCGATGAGTGATTGGTGCGGCCGACAGCCTTCCGTAGAGCAGCCCGTACCAGCCTATCTAATGCATCTAATGCATCTAATGCACGTGTATGACATAGTGAGCTTAGATGGGAGCTTGAGAGATGACTAAGAAGATTCGAAAGGTTGTGTGGCAAAAATGACCAAGATTGCCGAATGGGAGGGTCGATAAGAGAGTGATCTCGATGTCGTTTCTATGTTATTGTGAGAGGGGTTTTTTTTTTGAAATCGTTTCTATGTATTGTGAGAGGTTTGAAATCTACTGTATAACTAACTTAATGTAAGTTAAGTTAACTAACTAGTGCTTTTTGTCTCCTGTTTGTAACAAATACTGTCTCCGAGAACGCCGCCCCTCGGTCCCCATCTGTATAAGTTAATGTATAACTACTTACCTCCCCCCCGCCCCCCCCAAACTCTCCACGTCACAATAAAACATCATCAACAATCTTCATCTCATCTCTTGTAATACACCAATTCCACCACATTATAATCTGTGAATTAACTCGATTTTAAAGCTTCATACACACATCGCAATCATGTCCAACTCATTGGAGCAGCTCAAGGCCACTGGCACCGTAAGTTACTACTCCGGTTTTGGTGGGGTTTCGAGGATGCAATCGTCAACAATTTTATCTCCCCGCCACCAACGCTTTACCTTCATCACGATCTTGAAAACGATTGCTAACGTGAGATCTTGGCTATAGACCGTTGTCTCTGACTCTGGTAAGCTTCTCTGCAAACTTTTCCTCTCCAAAACAGCCAGCTAACTGCTTATTTAGGTGACTTTGTCTGTGAGTATACCCCGCCATCCAGGCCATCCCAACAAACCCCCACTCAACGGCAGCGACATCGCAATCCGACGCAACACGGCCATCCATCCCAACCCCACAAAGCTCAAGACTGACATCTAGACAGCTATCGGCAAGTACAAGCCGCAAGATGCCACCACCAACCCCTCCTTGATCCTCGCTGCGTCCAAGAAGCCCGAGTATGCCAAGCTTATGGATGTTGCCATCGCTTACGGCAAGGAGCACGGCGGATCGGACATCAACGCCCAGGTCGATGCTGCTCTCGACCGCCTCCTCGTCGAGTTCGGAAAGGAGATCCTCAAGATCGTCCCCGGACGTGTCTCCACCGAGGTCGATGCCCACTACTCTTTCTCCACCAAGGGTTCCGTTGACAAGGCCCTGCACATCATCGAGGTGAGTTCCGAGTTCCCCGGCTACAAAGCTACGAGTCAGTCTACTGACCCCTACCCAGCTCTACAAGTCCATTGGCATCTCCAAGGACCGCGTTCTGATCAAGATCGCCTCGACATGGGAGGGTATCCAGGCCGCCAAGATCCTCCAGAAGGAGCACGGCATCAACTGCAACCTGACCCTCATGTTCTCCCTCCCCCAGGCCATCGCCGCCGCCGAGGCCAACGCCTTCCTCATCTCCCCCTTCGTCGGCCGCATCCTGGATTGGTTCAAGGCTGCCAACAAGAAGGAGTACTCCAAGGAGGAGGACCCCGGAGTGGCCAGCGTCAAGGCCATCTTCGATTACTACAAGAAGTACGACTACAAGACCATCGTCATGGGTGCCTCTTTCCGTAGCATCGGCGAGATCACCGAGTTGGCTGGATGCGATTACCTCACCATCGCCGTGAGTTCTAACCCCCAAACCCGAAAGTGCGGAGTGACGTCACTAACATAACTTCCCAGCCCAACCTGCTCGAGCAGCTCCAGAACTCCACCGACCCTGTCCCAAGGAAGCTCGAGGCCGATAACGCCCACAACCTCAAGATCGAGAAGAAGACCTACATCAACGACGAGTCGGTGTTCCGCTTCGACTTCAACGAGGACCAGATGGCCGTCGAGAAGCTGCGCGAGGGTATCAGCAAGTTCGCTGCTGACGCCGAGACCCTGAAGGATATCCTCAAGGAGAAGCTCCAGAACTAGATTGATGGGGAGTAGATTGAGTAGGTGAGGAGGGCGGTTGTAGCCGCGACCAAGGGGAATGAGGGGGAGAGTGGAAGTAAAAATTGAATCGGCGCGGCAGTGCTGTGACCGGATAGGAACGGAAGTATAGATGGTAAATTAAATTGCGTAGTATTTGCTACTCCCTCAGTCCCGCCTATTTGCGTCTAATATGGTATAATCGTGCCACCCTTCTCCGTCCTTCTCCGTCCTTCTCCGTCCCCCTCCAACATCAAGGCTATAAAACTACATATCTGCATCTATATATTCATACATATCTCCCCCTTCTCCCAATTTAGGGCCACAACGTACTCGGATACTCCAGATACTCCCCCGGCGCCCCATAACCTGACTCAACCGATTATTGAGCGCCTGCGGCCCCTTCAGATGCCCCTCTCCCCCCTCCCCCCCAACCACATGCCTCCCCAAACGCCACATTCCACGCAAAACTCGAATGTCCCCCCCCCCAAAACACACTCGCCCTCGTCATCACAAGCAAATCCACCATCCCTTGCTGATCCCAACTCAACTCCCCAACTCGGCCACCTCCTGCGCTCCCAGAACATCAAATTTCGTCGTCACCGTCATATTCATTGCCGCCGCCTCGGCGCTCAACTTCGCGACCCTCGCGGTCTCCGGAGGGGACGTAGATGAGCAGGAGGCCTGCGTTGGAGGCTGCGGACAGGACGAGCGCAGCTTGTGTCTCGTACTGGCTGTACACCCAATCCGGGCCCGGCCAGCCTAGCTGCGCGTCCCGCTCGGTGCGTACATGCGCGCCGAAGAAATCGGGCAGAACCGCATCGGCCAGCGCGCCGGGGTAGTTGTACTGCGCGGCGAGGCTGCGGAGGGTGCTAGTCGCGAGGACGCGGATGTCGTCGCGGAACTTGAGGATCTGTCCGAATTGCGTGGCGAAGGGGGCGCCGTCGCTGTAGATGGGGTAGGCGAGGTAGGTGCGCGAGAGGTGGACTATTGTCGTTGCTGGCGGCGCGCGGGGGGGTATGTGTTCGTGCAGCTAGGTTGGGAAGTTATGGCGCCACGTTTCTGGGGAGGCGAGCCCCGTGCGGGGGAGGTTTTTGGATTGTAGGTATTCCGGGCGGAGGAGGAGGGGGTCGTTTATTTTCGCGCTACCAGCGACGGCGGATTCGAGAGTGGGGTGCATGATCAGGCCCGGGCATCGGGGGTGCAGGTTGTAGAGGGGCAGATGCTGCGGATGGCGGGGGAGTCGAGGGGGTGTGTGTTGAAGACATCGTGGGGGGAGGCGGCGGAGTTAAGGGTGGTGAGGGAGACGTGAGAGTGGGTGAGGCCGACGAAGAGCCAGATTGCGATGAGGAGCCAGAAGGCGACGGCGGCGTCGGTGCGGCTGGTGCCGTGGGGCAGCTGGTGCCGTGGGGCAGCTGGATCATCGCTGGGGGATGGAGACATCAAGATGGATGGCGATTGATGTCATGGAGAGAGGGGATAACTAACTTACAACTCGAGGAGGATATTGAGATGGGTAGGTCGTGCTTACATTTGTAACGCCTGTCCCAACCCGTTGCACTTCTCCGCATCGAGTGCGTAGCGGGGTACGGTAGTTGGGGGATCTGCAATTTTAGGAAAGCTGCAACAGGCGAGGATCCATTTCTCAATAGTGGACTTGTGAGAGTTTGAGGTCAACAGCGTATAGAACTATTGGTGTTCCATGTATGTGGCGTCAAACGTGTTACCCAAGAAATGAGTTTGACCAGCTTGGCGGAATTGTATTTTGGTCAAAAAGCGCGCGGCTCGTTTCGCTTAGCAGACCCCTACAATCTGGTTTGATATCATTTTCAACTTCAACTACATCATACACCGATAGTATGGGTTATAATTACTGAGCGATCTGGTTTTCAAATTCGTTCATATAGACCTATTCATTGCGCGAGCAGCATAGAAAGCTCGACTCGACTTGATAATAGAGCCAATAAACCCAATTCCCAACGGATATCTCCCAACCCAAGCTATATCATCGTAACCAGTCCTACCAACAGTGACCAAAACCGAGAACAAAGGCCTTCTTACCCAAATTACTTCAATACATCCCCCTCCTCTTACACCACCTCATTACTCCTCTTCCCCCCATCCCCCCGCACCGCCCCCTCACCTTCGTCCCGTCCCAAAATGGCCCAACGCAATCTCATTCAACCCCTCATTCTCCACGGGAGTTGGGAGAAAGCGGGTAACTAACCTCGCCAAACGCATCATCAACAGCAGAGTTAAAGTGACCCCGTACTGCCTCGCCCGTGCCGTGCACCGCAGCGAGTGCAGAATAGGCTTTCTGCGCTAGACCGCCATTGTTGGGGGCGTGGTGTGTGGTGGTGGTTGTTGTGGTTGTGGTTTGGTTTGGCGCGGTAGCGGAGAGGGGGCTTTGGGTTGGGTTAGTTGACATTTTGAAGATGTGTGTTTATATGGGCTTAGAGAGGTTTGTGAGGGCGTTCGTTTGTTGTATTACGGGTTCTGAAGGGTTAAGGGGTTAGCATTGGGAGATGCGAGGTTGATATATAGGAGGTGGGTGTGACGTCATGGAGGGGCAGGAGAGGTGGCGAGGGGGACAGGTACAACAGGGTAGCTTGCAAGGCAGGTATGGGAGAGAGGTGGAAGGACTTGGAATGAGGTACTTACTATATGTGCTGGGGAGATGTGACTGCATGGATTATAATAGCGTATTGGGACATGGAGTCTCATAATGGAGCATTGTGGTTCAGGATCCCGAGGGCTATGGGAACTGTTTCTGAAATGGTTCTGTATGTACTTTATAAATGGGAATATGCACTTCGCTGCTATGTACAACCTTTACAATCCTTTCCCTGCATCTCGAAGCTTGATACCCTCAGTCTTCAACTCAAACTTCTTGATCTTCCCCGACGGCGTCTTGGGATAGTTCTTCGTCCAGAAGATATACTTCGGGACCAAATGCCCCGACAACTTCCCTCTCACCCAATCCCTCAACTCCTGCTTCGTAACCACAGGACCCTCACCCTCCCCCCCACCCTCCCCATCCCCCTCATCCACCCTAACCCCCCCATGCACAACCACAAACGCCGCAACACACTCCCCATACTTCTCATCCGGAATCCCCACCACACTCGCCTCACTCACCTGCGGATGCGCAAACAACACATTCTCCACCTCCAGAGGATGAATATTTTCGCCGCCGCGGATAATCAAATCCTTAATCCGCCCCGTGATATGCACATACCCATCAGCATCCATCTGCGCCTCGTCACCCGTATACATCCACACGGCCTCGCGACCCTGCTCATCCGTCTCCGTCTTGCGCACCTCGGCTGTTCGCGCCTTGTCGCCCCAGTACCCGCTCATGACGTTGTAGCCGGCGATGGCGAGCTCGCCGCGCTCGCCGATGGGGACTACGCGGCCGGGGTCGGTCACCGAGACGACCTTGGCGTGCACGTGGGGGAGGAGACGACCTACGCTGTCGAGGCGCTTCTGTAGCGGGTCATCGGGCGTCGTCATGCATGATACGGGTGCTGTCTCAGTCATGCCGTAGCAGATGGTCAGGCCGGTGAGGTTGAGGCGGTCATGCAACCTGCCCATCAGGACGGAGGGGACGGAGGAGCCGGCAGCGATACCGGTGCGTAGGTGCTCGAAGCCTTTGTCTTCGATGGTGCCGTTGGAGAGGAGCTCGAGCTCGGCGGTGAACATGGTGGCGACGCCGTAGAGGGCTGTGGCGCGCTCTTCTTGGACGGCGATGAGGGTGGCGGAGGGCGAGAAGGCTTCGCTGGGGAAGACGATCGAGGAGCCGTGTGTGGCGGAGGCCATGTAGCCGAGGATGGAGCCGAAGCAGTGGTAGAGGGGGGGTGGGGAGACGATGATGTCGGCTGGGGTGAGGCCCATGCGCATGCCGATGAAGTAGCCGTTGTTGAGGATGGCGGTGTGGCTTAGGCAGGCGGCTTTGGGGAGGGCGGTGGTGCCGGATGTGAATTGGATGTTGATGATGTCGTCTCGGTGGAGAGGAGAGTCTGGGGTTATCGCTTGGGGTGTTTGCGAGTATAGGAGGTCGTTGAAGGAGGTTGTCGATTTGAAATCTGAGACATCAAGGCGCCCGGCCGAGTTGTCGACGAGAATGACTTTCTGAAGGGATGGAACGGAGGCAGACTCGATAGATCCAGAAGTTAGATCTGGGGAAATCTGCTTGAGTAGCGATATATTTTCTCGAGGAGGTTTGAAATGGAGGTTGGTCTCGGTCCCGATTATGAGATGTGTTGCTGAGAGATGTGATAGGGCAGAGATAACTTGAGGTGAGTTGAATGCTGGGTTCAGCGGAACCTGCATAGTTAGCAAATGCAGTTCGCCAAGACCCTTCTTCTGCTGTACTTACCAGAATGGCACCGAGCTTGAACAAGGCATATGTTGTCTGGGAACTTTCCGTCAGCACCTCCATCCCGACCAGCTATGCATCGGCTTGTCATACCACAGCGAACTCGATGTTGTTTCCCAAGCTCACAGCCACTCTCATGCCCTTCTTTACACCCTGTGCCTGCAGCCCTGCTGCGACAGAGCTACTCCTCTGGTCTAGCTCCTCATACGTGAGTCGCGTGTGTTGGGCGCGCGAGATCACCGCGTTTTGGTCGCCATGCTTCGAGACGATAGACGCGAAATGCTGGGGGACTGTTTGGTCGAGCAGCGGTGGCTATGAGGCATGAAGTCAGTATATGCTGAGAATTAATTCCACGAGGGCAACAGAATGGTAAGGTTCTACCTCTGTTGGTCCCTGAGCATACGACAAAGTGAGAAGTCCCCGACTTTGGACTCCACAAAGCACAGGCGCACAGGCCCGCGGGCTATTGAATCGAAATACCGGCCGAATCATGTTGTAACTTTCTTCTTCATTACCACAATCGTAGAGAGGAGTTGAGAGGAGGAGGGAGGAGAGATAGCAGCAGCTCAAGTAAGCATCCAGGCCCAGCTTCGATTCCCATCCGAGGTAGGAGCTGTTGAGGAGCATAGGATCCTCAGCTACTACCCCACAACTCCACGCTACAAACGTGGGATGGCGCTGGTTCTGGGTTATGGCACACGGGTACCGTCGCCCAGAAACGGGAAGCAGTTGTACCGCTACCCGAGCCAGGTTTAGCTTACCTAAGCAGACTGAATCGACAAACACAGATTGCAGGATCGAAGCGCCATCAAAATTGCAAAATATATCTACCTACTTCACTTAATCTTTAATAGCAATCTTTAGCCAGGTACAACAAAAAAATAGCAAAATGATGATACTCCTAATTGGAGTATCCGAAACTTTGCATCAGCCGTGAATCGAACACGGGGCCCATCGATGGCAACGATGGATTTTACCACTAAACCACTGATGCCGGATTCTTGTTATCCAATTACCGTATTCCGTTCTATGTTAGCGGGCCCGGCTGCTTTGAGCACCACAACTTTCGGTTTTCGCGACTACGCATTCCTATCTCTGCAGCATCCAACACAACATTCCGTTTCTGGGTTCTAGATCCTGGACTGTTGGGCGTCCCCAGTGGGTTTTCCGATTCTAGGATTCAACTTTCCATGTGCACAACGCCGTGGACATCATGTCGGCGCATGGCCCATCCCCAATTTGGTGTCCACACACACCTGCTCCTTCTCTTCCCTTCATTCCCCCTTCTTCCCTTTCGTCTTCCTGTCATTTTCCTTTGCATCTTACCTCTCATATTTCCTTTGTTCTTGAGCATTTTCTTGGTTATTTTGCTCTTTACGTCGATCTTTGAAGAGAACAGTGGTTATGAAGCTCTCAAAGGATGAACTACTGGCAGATATCGAGCAGCAGGGATCAACGAAGAAACGTCCACCAAAAGTTGCCCCTCCAACAAAGAGAGGATACAAGTCTATCCTCTCGCTATGGCAGGACTTTGCATTGCGTATTGACCAGCCAGCGCTGGTCCCAAGCGCAGGTTACATGAAGAGCTTCTTCAAGATGTTAGCAATCGAGCATAAAGGGATGCTAGGCCCACGCCTGTCCCTCAACACCTTATGCCCATACGTTACACGCCTCGCGACAGCGTACAAGCATGAACACGATATTGAGATTCCACAGAGGGTAGTGGGGGAAGTGAAAGATGTAAAATGATACTTGTTGATGTCCTTATATAGTACCAAAGAAGCTAATATAAGGATAGTGGATTAAGACAGACTTGAAAGATTTGCTCGCGCTTAGTAGCAAGGCCCGCCCGAAGCCAATGGCAGACTCGCAAGATCTCGAAGTGCTCATTCGTTACTTGTGGGTAGAGGACAAGCACAGTTTCCGAAACCAGCTCGACCGCGTTAAGTTGCACTTCTTTCTTCTATGCCTTGCATACACTGTATCTCGGCCAGGGGCAGTCGTCGTATCAGATTCATATCGAAACAGCAATGAGGCTATGAAATATAGAGTTAGTATATATCTAGCCTTTACTTCATACGTTTGCTAACTCGTTTGAGGATTTGAAATTCCACCTCACTCGGGATGTCGAAGGCGGTCCACCTCAGATGAGCCTCACAGTTACCTTCAAACTTATGAAGGGGGACAGAGACGAGGAGGATGAATTGTGAGTATCTATAGACAATAGGCTATCTTAACGGAGCTGACATAGCTTAGTGTTACAATAACGCTCTGGGAGGACCGGGCCTATCCACACCTATGCCCAATTATGCCTTTCCTTACCTTAGCATACGAACACGACGCATTTGATATTAAGCCAGAAGAGCTTTTTTGCGCTACGTTAGATCGTAGCGTTGTTGAAGTCCCTCTCAAAGATGAGGTCTTAGATATGCCCCTTTTTCGAGCAGCAGACGGGACGGCTGCATGGACATACGCTGCTTCTTACCGCGCCTTGACAGCGCTTGCATACCGTGCAGGATACAGATGCCAAGTAACTTCATACGCTATTAGGCGCGGAGCTGCCAATATTCTAGAAAGTATGTAATTTGACAGCGAGGCCGGAACTTGCGCTAACCTTGTCGCAGAGTCTGCTACATGGGCAGAAACAGGCATCTTGATGGGTCATAAGAATGCCAAGGTGTTACAAGCACGCTATGTCAACAAACATGTCGGTGTTGACTTACAAAGCCTGTTCCATAAAAGAACTGCAAAGACTGATCGTCTACGGCCGTTGCGCAGCTTAGCTGCTGAACACTTCCCAGGCGCACCATGCGACCTCCGCGGTACGGACCTGCATCAGAAGCTCAGGAAACACCCTAAATACATTGAGCGTCGCCAGGAATGGCAGGACCTTAAGCAGAGCGCGGCAAGCGCAGCCCTTGTTAAAGCTGCGAAAACAAAGATGAATGTGGAATTAGCACGTCTTAGAAGAGTTGAGACAAAGAAGCTCAGAGAGGATTGGATCAAAACTGATGGATTACGTTATCTCAGAATGCAACGGCAAGACAACGCAGCCCAGGAGCTCTCCAAAGAATTGAACGACTACACGCTACCGCCATGGCGCGCCACCGTGACTGAGATGCTGTTTGAGGCATCAGATCAATCACAAGAAGGGAGGCTTGTATTATTGCGCAACCTTCGGGACCTGTCTAAAGTCAAATGTGGGCCTGCTAGAACCAAGATGCTATATCCGTGTCCCTATATTGATTGTGCGCACCATGAGAAGCCCTTTGACACCAAGGATGCTCTAAGTCGCCACTCTCGCCATCACGGATGTCGCCACTCTCGCCATCACGGATGTCGCTATATTGATTGTGTTTACTATGAGAAGCCCTTTTCGACCACGGCCGCTCTAACCCGCCATTCTCGACATCACCGCCAAATGGAGTATATGTCCCAACAGATGAATGAAGTGACTTTTACACGCAGGGCGACTCTCCACTGCGGCCAAGGCAACACTAACACAGAACATTCCTGTCCTCATCGCAGTTGTCCGCGCTACGTGTTGCCCTTTGCATTCAAAAGAGATCTTCAGCGCCATTGCGACCGAATTCATAATACATCGGAATACCTCTGCCTGCATCAGCATTGTATTCGCAGCAGAAAACCTTTTACGAACGAAATCTCTCTTGTTCGCCATCTGCATGAAGTTCACTCACAAGTATTTCTTCTAGATGCTCAGAGACAGCCGCCGAAGCCACATTCTGGCTTCACGAGTGAAGCTGGGCCTCACAGGGTCTTACAAATAGTATTGCAGGCCAAATAGATATTATAGATTAGTTGATAGATTTAATTGTTACTGTTCTATATACTGTACTCTATGCCGAAACCCTTATTGCGGCTGCTTCACTTGATACGTGCTAAATGATAATTCTGCTCGGCTGGGATACCCACCCAATACCCACCCAACTTTGTTGGATATTCCCGACGCTCAGGTACCACTGCTAGGAGTGATTATGGCGAACGGTTTAGTTTTATACTATTGTCTATTATCGGGGCTGGACACACATTGGACACTACTTGGCAGGACCACTAGTACAGAGCGGACAGTACGATTGTACTGACAAGAAACAGAATATGGGGAATGGGCAGGACCACTAGTAATGGGTCACTACCACTACAGATTGGACAGTAAGTTTCTACTGCTGGACGACAAGAAACAGAATATGGGCTGAATGTGGCTGGAAAACAAGAAACAGAATATGGGGGGGACCCGCCACTAGGCTGCGCACTGGGTACTCACGAGTCGAGTAGTAGAATTTTTACTCACCCAGCTGAGTTACTCACTCATGTCCCGAGTATTGTTGAATGAGGATTACTCACTTGCTGAGTACCTAGTATGGGTCTTGGCAACTCAGTTATATCACGTGTTTGATTAGCCATTACTTATGTTAAAAACGGGGTGCGACTTCATTGATCAAGACGCCATAACTCCAACTCCATTCCCATATTGTTGATGTCCTATTCCACACTATAACCTTTGGCCTTTAGGTACCAGGTTACCAGATGGTTGCCAGAACTCATCTGACCTTCATTCCTGGGTGAGAGACATTTCCATCGATTAAGCCCACAGCTTAAACATCATATCCTGCAAACGCCGAACCAATATCATACCCTTTGCCTGAATTGTCACTCTCTTCGCATGAATAGCGAGGAGGTTTGTCACTATAACTGTTAGTATGTCCCTGTCACTATGTTTAAACATCATACTCTCAAATTCTTGAATGAGGAAGCATTCAGCAGCTTCCTAAAGAGCTAGGATAGCAGATTGCTGGAAGCGAAGATTGGACTTGAAGTCTTCTGTGATTTCCCTAACAAGACGCTGGAATGGGAGCTAGTATCAAGTTGCTGTCTTCTGATATCGCGGAGAGCCTTGGTGCCTATATGTTTATTAGAGAGTTCTGGTAATCCTCTGGTAATCCTCTGGTAATCCTCTTACTAGACTTTGTGCAGCGCGTGGCCTTCTGAGCATGATTGTTGCTAGCTTGAGATGAGCAAACTGGAGCTTTTCTTGCTGTGCCCACAGCCTTTTCCTGTCCCTTTCCGCCAAGCCCAGAGCCAGCCCGTAATCCAAGTGGCATCCTTGGTGCTATGCTGCCAGTTGATCTCCTAGCAGTTTGCTTGGTACGAGTCATTTGCTAATATCAAGGTGAGTTAGTAAAGTAAACACAAGATAAAGAAGTAGATCAAAAGATATGTGTACTTACAGTGAGTTTGTAGAAAGAATATTGCAGAAGAAGAGTATAGTAAAGAGGTAGAGGTTGAAAGGTATGTGTTTTATATGAAGGTGCGCATTGTGGTGTTGTTTTTGGAGCAGTAATTCTTTGTAGGTGAATATTCCTTCACAAATATTTTTGTTTGCAACTTTAAAATAACCACGACCTTAGAACCACCTTCCTTGGTTACTCTCCGATCTACACATTCTTCTTCCCTTTTGAGCCTTTACCTCTTCTCTAGGACTTCAACTAAGTTTATTATCTTGATTCTATAGCCAGAACTTCTGGAGATCTCTGCTAATCACGTGTTTAGTTAGTATGGCGAAACTCAAGGCACATGAAGAACTCTCCACTAATGCGAATACTATCAAAGCTCGCAACTGCGTCTCCAACCTTACTGAAGATGAGAAGGCTGTTCACTTAGCACTCAAGGCTGACCATGCTGATCTGAGCTACTACTTAAAGAAGTTATATAAGTCTGCAAAGTGTAAGGATGCCTCCTTACCTAGATACTCGAAGAACCCGCCTCAGAGCTGTTACGGTCACCACAAGCATGAAATCCGACTCGGTGTGGTTTCGGACCAGTAGAGGAGGACATAGCGAGTTACACTATAGTGGGGGACGGTAAGGGTGTAGGGTTCAGGGTCGATGCGGACCTGTTGCGGTGGAAGGTTCAGGGCTAGGGTTGGGATAACCGAGTTGGGCCCGTTTCGGGTACTTAAGGAAACAAACTTAACGGGGTTCCCCCTTCATCTTTTTTGTATCCTTCGTAGTAGACCTATAGGATAGCATCCTTTTAGCCTCCAACTCGCACTCTCATATGCTATTACTGTGAGCTGGGTGCCCTGTGTCATTACACAAAGTATATCGCTGCCTCTACTGAAGACAAGACACGTCTACAGAATGAATTGAAGGTTGAGCGTATTTGTGTTCGGTAAGTTCCTTCTGGTAATCTCTGGTAGCCTCAATCTAACTATAAACAGGACTGAGAAGGGTACCCATGCATCTTGCATTGCGAATCAGAAAGTCAAGAATATTAGCGCCTCTTCTTCTCCACAAGCCCCACCATCTACTCCGCCCAAACAACTTCTGTCTGAGCTTGCTGCATTTGAGGGTATCTCAAGTATTCCAATCGATGACAATCATAACAGCGAATGGGAGGATACTGAGGTTGAAGACGATTTGGAGTTGGAGCTTATGTTACAGCGCGAGATATTTTAAATGACGAGGCTGTTCTACCAGATGAGCTTTCCGATGAAGAGATCACTAGCACCCAGGCTCTCTTAACTCAAGCGCACATTGATGTATGCTACCTCATAATCTGGTAATCTTCTGGTGATACTAATAGTTGATAGGCCCATGAAGAGTCCAATTTCCGCAAGTGGCAACATTTCTGGGATAGCTGTATCCACTCATATACGAGAAAGGCTGGAAAGCTGAGAAAGAAGCCTGAGCGTCTCTTTGAGTATATGCCGTGGATTGATGTAGAGGAAGGGTACGTCTCTGATCATCCTAGCAATCTTCTGGCAATACTAATTGTTTATTATAGCACTTTTCACGAGGTTATCCCACCACATAAATATTTCTGTTTGTACGAGCAGGCAGTTTGGAAAGTGGGCCTAATTACCAGGACCTGTGCAGTGGTACCCAAAGTCTTACAATCTTGTCGACAATGGATGGTTGCAAATATCCACTCATAGTTCTAGCTTCAAAGAGGCGTTCTTACTTGTCTACTCTAAGAAGTTTGATAAGGAAAAGTGGGCTAAGGTATCAGCTGCACAGGATATGTTGTTCCTGGAGCTAGAGTAGAGGAGAACTTGAGTTGCTAAAGTTATAGCGCTGGAGTACCTTTCGCGTTGGAAAACCAGGTATTTAAGTACTTCATCGTAGCCAGACTTCTGGTAACCTTCTGATAATCGAGCAATTTGCCAAATGCCATCTCAATACTCAGAGTTGTTTGATTCTGACAGTATTCTCAGACTCTTTTCCGTCTTCTCAACGACTATCCTCATTAAATTAAGTCTGTAAGGACACAGGGCACCCAGCTCATAGTAATAGCATATGAGAGTGCGAGTCAGAGGCTAAACGGATGCTATCCTATAGGTCTACTACGAAGGATACAAAAAAGATGAAGAGAGGAACCCCCGTTGGGTCAATCTCCTTAAGTACCCGAAACGGGTCCGACTCAGCTAACCTGCCTTAACTCTTATCATGTGACCGTAACCTGCCCGACTCAGATCCTTTCCATCACTGAGGGACAGGCATCCTTACAAAGTCCCTGCAGGCCTTGAATATATTGGCAAGTTAAACCAATTCGTCAAATGGACTAAGGATACACACGATATATTCATTGAGTGGTGGAAGCTATCACGATGGTATGAACAACACTCAGATCATACTACAAAACTCCTTATGAAGATTGCATGGGATTCAACCAACTGGAGTTCTCAATACTGGAGAAGTTATCACCAAGGAGCAGACCGGCTTTCTGGAGAACCATGTGTTATTTGTACTTATTGTTCGAAGGCCCTTACGCATCCTGCAATCAAGTCTGCTGGCCCAAAGTCTATGGCAACACATCTTGCATCAGACATTTGCAAAAAGAAGTCACAGATGGGAAGGATAGTCTCTATCAAATGCGAATCAATCAAATGCAACCTCAACAAGTAAGGATTACCAGATTATTACCAGAATTATGTAGGTTAATACCTATAATAAGATCATATTCTCACACAAGAGACATTTTATGAACAAGTTCTATACACAGTTATCTTGACTCATAGCTCGTTCCGCTCAGTCGAGGATCCTCATCAAGACCCTATAAATACTTTAGGTATTAGTAGGTCTGGCCGGCCTCATCAAGCAAGGTGGAGGGATGTTCTTAAGCATATATAATAGATAATAGCGTTCTAATAATCTTCTGATAATCATGGTACTTAGATAGAGGAATATACATGATTCGTTCTCACAGCTTACTAGAGATGGCGAGAGTGATGCTAATAGATGTAATACTTTAACTTAACCATAAAACAGTATTAATCGTATGAGGGACTGTTCACATGATGCATAAATCTTACACGTGATAGCCGAGTACTCACCGGGTTTTTACAGAGTAACTGAGTATTGACCTCACTCACCGAGTCGAGTAAAAGGTTCAGCTACTCACCCAGCTGAGTAACCCACTGAGCGAGTGAGCCGAGTATTGAGCGAGTAGTGCGCAGCCTACCCGCCACTACAGATTGGACAGTAAGTTTCTACTGCTGGACGACAAGAAACAGAATATGGGCTGGATGTGGCTGGAAAACAAGAAACAGAATACAGAATATGGGGGGGACCCGCCACTACAGATTGGACAGTAAGTTTCTACTGCTGGACGACAAGAAACAGAATATGGGCTGAATGTGGCTGGAAAACAAGAAACAGAATATGGGGGGGGACCCGCCACTACAGATTGGACAGTAAGTTTCTACTGCTGGACGACAAGAAACAGAATATGGGCTGGATGTGGCTGGAAAACAAGAAACAGAATACAGAATATGGGGGGGGACCCGCCACTACAGATTGGACAGTAAGTTTCTACTGCTGGAAGACAAGAAACAGAATATGGACTGGGATTCCTTCATAGGCAGTCCCAGTGAGAGTGGGCAGGGGTGGGGCTCGTTGGTCAGAGTTTCCAAACAAAGACAAGTGGGCTGGCACCGCTTTTGGCGGGGGTGTAGAGGTGGCCACCCCACCAGATGTGAGTACCGCTTCTCCTTTCTCCCTCTGCATCAACGATTGTTCATTGAAAGAGCTTGATGATGGATTCCAGCAGTACATCTGTTGTGGTGGTAGAGACCCATGTGGTGAACCATTGACCTTCATTACTCTCACTTGCCTTTACTAAAGTAATCAAGCATGGCTACTGCGAAGTTTTCCAGTTCTTTCTTTCGTGAAGCTAAAGCTGAAATTGAATCGCTAGATCTTCACCATGAGATTGTCGATGGATTGGTGAGGGTGCTACGACTGGAGAAAGAGCACTTCGATCATCAGACGAGCTACTCAGATGGTGAAATCTACCTCAAGATTGTGGAAGCCATCACCTTCGGATTGGACAAGAATGTTCAACTTTGGAAAGCACGCCTGTCCTCTGGCAAAGTAACTAGCCTTGAGAGTCTTCTACGCCATGAAGAAATATCAGGCGCTTTTAACGAGCTTCGTGATTTCCCAGGCTTGTGGAAAGGGCTTGAGTTGGGGAACATTGAGAAGCTCCTTGCTCTTCGCATGGACGAGGCAAGTAGGTCCTATTAACCCCTCTATTGACTACAAGCTAACTTAAGTGAAGGAAATAATCCACTATCTCCGACATATCAAGTCTGTATGGGATAAAATAACTCAAGGGAAAGATGCCCTCAAAAGAGCCGTATGCCCTGAGACTGTTGACTTTCTCTACCTACGCGCCCCTGCAGCAAGCGCGGCTGATCGAACATCTATCGTCCAAGAAATGCGGCTTAATCCTAGAGATGTACCCTTCACTAGTTCCTTCGTTGCTCTGATCTCCTCATGGTAGTGGACGAGAAGCTGCCGCAGGCGTTCGATCTCTGCCTTGAGAAGTAACGATGGAGTGGATCCCCGCGAAGGAGGAAGAGGCTTGTCGAGCATCGGTAATGGCGTTGCTAGTTGCAATGAAGTTGGTATATCGTTTGTAATATGGCCTCCATATACTTTAAACATGTTTGCGGCCTCTCGGGAGTGCGGGAGATATCCCAGCTTTATAGGGATTGTTATTTATCAGAGGTTCCAGTGACAGGGTGGAGCTCATTGGCCAGAGTTTCCAAATAAGGGCAAGTGGCGCTTTAAGCACATTTAATCGCTGATCCCCCATAAAAATACGGGGGATCAGCGAGTAAACGTGGATGCAGAGGCGCCACCCCAACGCTTCACGAATGCACGGGAATGCCAAGCTTGGGACGCGCCAAGAATCCAAGCTTGGGACATGCACAGATGATACTCAAATCGTCGACTGAAGGTTATCACACAAGCCCCTCTCTCTGCAGCAGGCTTGAATATCGCTGTTCGTCTAACTGAAGCCTGTATTCTCTTTTCCACGTTTGCTCGCTGAGCCCCGCAACTATAGCTCTTAAAGTGCCACTTGCCCTTATTTGGAAACTCTGGCCAACGACCTCCACCCCTGGCCACTGTGCCCTATGAAGCCATATTACAAACAAACGATAACAACCTCATTGCCACTAGCAAGGGCATTACTGATGCTCGACAAGCCTCTTCCTCTTTCGCGGAGATCTGACCCGTATCCTGTTTCTTGTCTTGCAGCACTGCAAAGACAGTACTGCACTCTTTAGTGGCGGTCCTGAACCCCGTATCCTGTTTCTTGTCTTGCAGTACTGCAAAGACAGTACTGCACTCTTTAGTGGCGGTCCTGAACCCCGTATCCTGTTTCTTGTCTTGCAGTACTGCAAAGACAGTACTGCACTCTTTAGTGGCGGTCCTGAACCCCGTATCCTGTGTCTTGTCTTGCAGCACTGCAAAGAGTGTCGTGGCGCCTCTGCATCCACGTTTACTCGCTGATCCCCCGCAACCACCACAGCGCTTAAAGCGCCACTTGCTCTTATCTGGAAACTCTGGCTAACGAGCTCCACCCCTGTCACTAGAAGCCCTGGCCAGCCTCCATCCGATCTGTGGACTTCAACCTCCGGAGCATGTTTTCCGTCTTGCTCTCCAGTCCTCGTTATGCCTCTTGTTATAAATAACAATCGCTATAAAGCTGGGATATCTCCCGCACTCCCCTGAGGTCGCAAATATGTTTAAAGTCAGTGGAAGCTATATTACAAACGATATACCAACTTCATTGCCACTAACAACGCCATTACCGATGCTCGACAAGCCTCTTCCTCCTTCGCGGGGATCCACTCCATCGTTACTTCTCAAGGCAGAGATCGAACACCTGCGGCAGCTTCTCGTCCACTACCATGAGGAGATCAGAGCAACGAAGGAACTAGTGAAGGGTACATCTCAAGGGCTGGAACAGGCGGAGCTGTCATTCTTCAAGATGAAAGAAGAGGAGATGCGGATTCAGGGAGAGTGCGATGCATCTATGGCGACAGATACCCGCATAGCTAGAGGCATCTGGAGAGGATGTACATGCCCGTCACACCAGGCTATCTACAACGGCTGGCCAACACACAACGCTGACCTAACAATCGCTCAATGTATGAGAACATGCATGTACTGCTGAAGTGTTTTTAAAGGAGCAGCCGCGCTACGCACACACATAAAGAGAGTAAAGTATGCTCGAAAAAACCTAGGCGTATACCGGGAGACACGGGGAAAATACAGCTCGACCACTCCAGCCTGGACCTTTATCCCAATCCAACGATCAGTTTCTGAACTAATTCGCCCAGTAACTGCCCGAACGACTCTGTCCAATCCAGCAAAAACAGTGCCAATGCTGTAGCAAGTTTATGGTAGAACGCCAGGAGCTACAAACGTCCAGAATGTCAATTAAATCGGACATACCCCTGAGGTGACTGCTATCTATCAGCTGCGTACCTTCTAGTTGGTATTAAGCAGCGATTACAATAAATAGCTGTATCTGCACTCATAGATACTTCAAATATTACATCCTCAGTTAACAACTTCAACTCACTTGACATCTGGATGGAGTCGTGGAAGGCGTTATTGTAGGTGAGCTCCGCAAAGTGAAGGAGCTCCACCCAATTGTCCTGGTGCTGGTTACAGTGGATCCGTAGGTAAGCCTCAATATTCTGGTTCTGCCTTTCAGTCTGGCCGTCGGATTGAGGGTGGAAGGCTGTAGACAGGTTACGCCGTACTTTGAGGTGGAAACAGAAAGCCGACCAGAAGTGGCACGTGAACACGCTGCCCCTGTCCGTTATGATCTCGGCCGGTATTCCAAAGTCCTTAACCCAGTACGCAAGGAAAAGGCGCGACAGCTCTGGGGCTGTAATGGCCTTTCTACACGGTATATACTTGGATACCTTGGTGTAGCGGTCTACTATAACCAGAATTGAGTCTGAGGCCTTGGCTTGGCCTGTCTCTATGCTTGGGGGTAGGTCTGTGATGAAGTCCATACTTATGGATTCAAAAGGCTTTGAGGGCATCTTCAATGCCTGCATTTCGCCATATGGCCTGTGCTGTATGGGCTTGATACGTTGGCAACGATCGCAGCCCCGTACGTACTCTCTGGTCTCCTGGTCTAAGCCAGGCCAGTAGTATTTGCGTCGGATCAACTCTTGGGTCTTCTTGTACCCAAAGTGTCCAGCTAAGGGGTCGTCATGGCAAATCTTGAAGATTTCCATACGTACTGCCTGATTAGGAGGCACGTAGGCCGCTCCCTTGAAGCGTAGGATGCCTGTATCGTCTACTCTCCAGCCTGAAGAGCCCTTCGCTCACACCGACCCCACGTCCTTGGCCCTGTAAACAGCGAGCTCGTCAGCCGCCTGAAGGGTTTTGATCAAGTCCGCCAAGGGTTCAGTCGTGGCACTATAGGCGCTCTCTCCCTGAGCCATAGCTTCTACCATGACTCGAGGGACAACGAGACCTGGACTCTTGGTGTCCTTATTCCGGTCTTCGCCCAATGTGACGCCAACTTCTTGTAGGTCAGCCACTACCCGCCTGATCTGCGGGGCTTCTCCTGCCTGTATGGCTTTCTGGAGCTTGCTCTGAAGGGTAGGCAACATAACGTTCTGGCTACCCTTCTCTTCCTCGTAGTCTGGTCTTCTCGACGGCCTGTCTGCGGGATTCGTCTTTCCAGCCCGATAGGATATGTGGAAATCGTAGGCTGACAACACCTGCACCCACCGCGCTTGCCTCCTTGTGAGGGCGGTGGTTTCCATGAAATATTTCAGGTTGTTGTGGTCCGTCAGGACCTCAACTGGGTGTTGGCTACCCTCTAGGTAATGCCTCCACTGTTCGAAGGATCTCACGATCGCCAGGAGCTCCTGGTCGTGGACCTCGTAGTTCAATTCGGCCGGTTCCAGCTTCTTGCTGTAGAACGCGACTGGGTGCCATACGCCCTTTCCTTCGAGCTGGTCTACAAACTGGGACAGGTTTCCAGCAAGGCCAAAGCCAGAGGAGTCCGTCTCCAGCCTGATTCTGCGGCTTGGATCAAAGTGGACCAGCGTTGGGGCTGTAGTGAAGGCTTCCTTCAAGCGGTCGAATGCGCCCTGCTGTTCTATGCCCCAGACAAAGGGTCCTGTTGGCTTTCCTGCCTTGGCCCCCTTCATGAGGCCAGTCAATGGGGCCACAACAGAGGATTATTGCTCAATAAAGCGCCGGTAGAAGTTGGCGAAGCCGAGGAATACCTGGACCTCTCGGTGGGTCCTTGGTATAGGCCACTCAGCTATCGCAGCAACCCGGTCGCTCTCCATGGCAACCCCTTCTGTTGTGACGATATACCCAAGGAAGCTTACCTTACTTGGTATTGAACTCGCACTTCGAGAGCTTCACGTATAGGTTCGCCTCACGTAGGCGTCCTAACACCTCCCGTACATGGTTGGTGTGATCCTCCTCCCTCTGAGAGTAAATAAGGATATCGTCTAGGTATACGACACATATAATGTCCTTCGAGAGTCTCGTTCATATAGGCTTGGAACGTGGCAGGCGCGTTGGCCAAGCCAAAAGGCATCACTTTGTACTCAAAGTGTCCGTAGCGAGTACGGAAGGCAGTCTTCCACTCGTCGCCTGGGCGAATACGGATCCTATGGTAGGCATTGTCATACTGACATTCGTTGCACTCAGTTTGCTATCAAACTCAAGAGCAAACTTGGAAATCTCCTCCTCAAACCTACAAGTCACTATACATATTTTGGCTTATCACACCAACAACAAGAGCAATACTACTCAACGATTGCTACAACCATCTATGATTCATTACACGTCATCGCTCCTTAGTTACTGGGCCGATATTACCACATAGCATATCTCTACAACCCTCTATGATTCATTACATGACATCACTCATACTACCACATGATATATCTCTACCAACTAGAGGCCTAGGAGCATGAACGATAGCTCTAAAAGCTCCTACGAACCTCTATGATTCATTACATGTCATCGCTCTTTAGTTACCCACAAGATTGGTTAAGTTATGACATAATTTGTCTATGACATAATTTGTCTATAGGGGTACTCTGACCTTGGACCTCCTTTTACTTCCTATAGGCTACGAACCTAAGAGATGGTTCTATGGGATTCTCTTACGTCGACTACAGTTACCAAGCCTGGTAAGTCATGGAAAGTCTTGGAAAATGAAAGAACTACACTCCTTTAGCATAAATAGGATTGCCCTTTCCTTAAGAAAGGGCAAGCAGACAATACAGTAAATCGACTATCACATACTTCCACGTCTTTTCCAAGCTTCCAAGCATTCATCTTGTTACTCCTTGTTTCTGAAAAGTCAGTGAGGTGTTAACCTCTGACTTACCCCTGAGTTCCCAGACTCAACATTTGTTGCAACTTGTCTGAACCACTTCACTACATCACACACCTGATTGCTGCGTTGTGGAATAGTCTAAGTGTTACGGCTATAGTAACATGATGTCATGGTTACAGGGCCAGGGCCTAGTAACGTGACGTGTGAGTCACATAACGTGACGTGTGAGTCACAGTGGGAAGCGGGGTAGGCTGCCATGTGACGGGGCTAATGGATAGTTGCAGAAACTAGTGGATATTGGATAGTTGAGCTATCCACGAACTATCCTGAATATCTAGCTATCCGCCAACTATCCAGATTACCCATGAGGCACGACGCCACTATATAAGTAGATAGTATTTCCTTAGATAGGAGCTTCGTGCTCAACTCAATACAGTATTTGTTATATACTAGTAACGTGTTACTTGAAGCCTTTGTGTCTAATCCCCTGCCTCCTCTGATAAGTAAACCTTTACGCAAGAGAACCTCTGTGTCTTCTATCATTTAGAAGTCAGCGTTACACTAAGCTACGACCCTTTGGCTCTTTTTCCTAAGACAGTGTGTTGTCTTAGTAAATTCATCCCTTCCTTGGGTGGCTAGATTCTCACATCTGGTGCACCCACCATTACAGGCATTCCGGATGTCGAGCTTGGTGAAGCTCCTCGCTCCCTGGAGTCTATCTAGGGTCTCCGTGATCAACGGCAATGGGTGTCTATTCTTCACTGTAATGTTATTCAGACCCCTGTAGTCTACGCAAAGGCGTAGGCTGCCGTCCTTCTTCTGGACAAACAGAATAGGCGCGCCTGCTGGGCTCACGCTCCGTTGGATCCAGCCCTTTGTCTCGCTCGATTCTGAGGTCAGGGCCAGGACAAAGGTGGCGTCACCTTCGTCTAGGCCCTCTATATCCGCAACTACTGCCTTCGCTATATCGAAGGGGTGGCGCCAGATCTGGGTCCGCCAATCAATCTGGGGGTTGACCTGTACAATCCAGTCCATTCCAAGGATAATATCCACCCCTGGGGTGTCCATGGAAAGGAGTGTCTGGTTGATGGTCGACTCCCTTCGAAAGTGGTCCTGGGCCCTAACTTTTGTGGTTGCTGTCCCGTATATGACGACTTCTTTGCCATCGACAGCCTTCACTCGGGGTGGGCCTTTATCTCGGCACTCGAGGCCTACGTACTTCGCAAAAAGAGGGTGGATCGTTGATGCGTCCGACCCTGAATCGAGGAGGGCCTTGGCCTTGTGCCAGGTCGGCCCTACCTGTAGCTCCACGTCGATTTCCATCCTTTTTCTAGGCGTAAGTCGTGGAGCTCCAGCTGGGAGTCACTCCTTCTTCTGGATATCCAGTTTCCTCACCCCAAGGCCTGTATATTGGCCCTGGCTACGGCATTCCTTCGCGAAATGGCCTGCCTTGCCACAGTTGTAGCAGCTCCCGCTTGGAGCTGGCCTTGGGTCCCTGCTCTGGGTAGGTGTCTGCCCTCTTGTTGTAGGCTGGTCTAGATTCTGGCGTCTGTTTCAGGGAAGGGTTCTCTCTCCTGGGGTGGTGGACCGAGATCCCCGGTTGCTGCTGAAACTGCCCCTTCAGTTCAGGAAGTTGCCCTGAGGGGAGCTTCTTCCCTCCTTAGGCTTGTCTGAGGTAGGAGCCTTCTCTGTGACCCAACGGTTGGTCATTTCCAGCATCGCTAGGATATTGACGACAGCCTCCCTGTGGGTGGAGGAACGCTCGGCGTACCCTCCCTCAAGGAGCCGCTGCCTCATATCTGGGTGGATCTTCGTCAGGAGGTGGGTGGTCCTTTGGGACT